AAATGACTTGGGCCCACAAGCTGTCGCGATTTCTCCATGGCTGGCTCCTCAGTGCTCAGTGTACAGACCACCCAGCAAAGACGACACGATCCCTTTCTGTCTGCTCCCCAGGACACAGCCATTCTGGATCCACAGAAAGCCACGGTCCTATGTGCCAGTTCTGCCCTAGACCCTTCTCCAGTGAAGATAGCCACAAGATTAACAGTAAGGTTTCCAGTCAAATCAGCCTTTCCCTGTAGTCAGCCTGCAGCAAGAGGATTATCCTTTCCATTTTCCCTTGGGATCAGTAAGTCTATTGAAAGATCTAATTTGGGGGAAGGTGATGTATAAAGATCCAAAGGTTTATTTATTTTAGCTAGAAAGGCTGGTGTACAGCTCTTACTAAGCTTAGTGAAGACTCACTGTAGTTTTCCTTTTCTGACCAACCCTACCAGAATGAACCTATATCAAACGTCACAGGATCCGTAGCACTTATGAACACCCAATAGTGCTATCTAGTGGCCAAATCTGGAGTGGCAGCCAATGTTACATAAGTCTAGTAATGGCTCGCATACGCTTAATGAATATACGCAAAATCTTCCTCCAAATCCTTTCAGTAAATTCTACTTAAACCAGGGATTACATGCCTATAATCTGGTAAACTGAGGCAGGAAAATAAAAAAGTGAAGTACTGCCTTGGAGCTTAGGGATACTCCGTCCCAAAAATTAAAATGGGAGGGGCTGGGGATTTAGCTCAGCGGCGTAAGTGCCTGCCTTGCAAGCAGGCAGTCGTGAGTTCGATCCCTGGTACCGATAAAAACGAAAAAGACAAAAAAAAAAAAAAAAAAAAATTTAAAATGGGGCAAAAAAATTTTAAAAATATTAAAAAGGACTGGGGATGCAACATTCCTTGGTTCAATCCCTAGGGCCGCCCCTCCCCTTCCAAAAGAAAAGGAAAAATGCTAATTTATTCAGGTTTGTTCCTTGAAGAATTTCTTTGGGTAGGGAGGACAGAGAGCTAGGAAACAAGTGACCAATCTTGACTTCTAATCTTGAAACAGGGTAGAGCCCAAGAGCTTGTGCCCTGGATCTGCTTCCTCCAGTGAAGCTGTCTAAGGACACAGAGGTAGTTACACAGAGTAACCATGTTACCAACCACATCCCCTCAGCCTCAGAACAGGAAACTGGGCACTGAGGCATTCTGCCTGCTGGGAGTGGCCAGTAATTAAAGGTGGCTACTAAATAATGCCACGGGTGAGAGCTTGGCAAGACACAGGTGCTTGACAGTTTAAGACGACGAGCACCACCTACAGAGGAGGATGGCGGTAGAGTTTGGTCCAAGTAAGAGCTATCTGCTGCTTTTCAATTACAGGTCTTGGCAGGACTCTTAAATTCCCAGGAGGCAGCTGCTGTTAGAAATAAAAGCACTTCCCAACCAGGACTGCAAAGAATAAGGACTGGATGTGAACCCCTAGATCATATCTGCTCACTCTATTCACCACAAGCTGGGAGCAAGGGGACAGTGGGAGCAGACAGCGAAGAAACAGGCTCGCCAACCTCAGGGGCAATATTCTTGCTATGAAACCTCAGAAAGTTCTGGACAAGGAATGAACAAAGTAAAGAGCAACAGGTTCTTCTCTAGAATAAAGTTCATGTTCACATCAGTTTCACTGGGTCCCGAAGTCCGCCTCTCCTTGCAATCTCTTTAGCTTTCACACCTGTGAAACAAGGCTAATCCTAATGAAGTGGTCATAAAATGATTGGTCAGCATTGACAGAATACAATCCTAAGTGAGCCACAACTGCTTAATAGATCAAGACAGTTCTAGAGTATTTTTATTTTTTCCCCCCAAGGCTGGGGATGGAAACCAGGGTTTTTATGTTAGGTTAAATCGTGTATAGACCACAGGCCCCTCAACCTCATTTCCAACAGCAACTGTCTCCTGGGAAGAGTCCTGCCAAGACCTGTAATTGAGAAGCAGCAGATAGCTCTTACCTGGACCAAACTCTACCACCACCCTTCTCTGTACAAGGTGCTCGTGGTCTTGGACTGCCAAGCACCTGTAACTTGCTGAACTCTCAACCACAAACTCAAAAAAACTTTTGAATTTAGAGGTTGCACATAAATGATTATGCCTTATATATGTTAAAATTAAATAAATGAGGTCAGGCATTGAAGTACAAGCCTGTAATTACAGCTACTGGGGAAATCAAAGCAAAGTACTTCCAGCCTGGACAACATAGTAAGACTTTATCTCAAAAAAAATATTGTTTTTCATCCTTTAACTTTTGGATTGTTAAGCTACATGTCTCAGTATGTAAAAGAGACGTGTGTGTGTGTGTGTTCACATTAGTATCACAGTCAGGAGAAAGAGTGCAGACAGGTGCAGGCAGAAGGTGGTGCTGAAGGCGGCTCTCCTCCAGTTATGAGCGGCCAGCTTTGGCAAGAACTGTGAATGACCTGTTCTTTGACCAGTCAAACAACTTGTCTCCTCCAAAAGGCAGTTTTTAAGAGACAATTTTAATTTCTTTATGCTCCCAAAGCAGGGGTCTTTGGCTTCCACTCACCTGAAACAGAACAAATGACCTCACCATTCCACTCTTCCACCGAGTCCGTAGGGTATCCAGAAAATTAAATACACCCCAACTCACCAGACACAGCCCTTCATCCCTTGCACAGTTAACCCAGAACCAAAACTGGGAGCTGAACTGTTTGTTCTGTTGTTGGCAGCCTTAAATGGTTCCATTTATATTGATGAAAATGTAAAAGCGCATCCTATGTAAGCAGCAAACATGAAAATTTACATAACCTTGGAAGTGAAATATACTTTACAGATTTTTTTTACACCTTAAAAATGGATTTACAACATTACTTTATACAGTTCTTTTGTTGTTTAGGCAACTTTTCAGTAATATTTCTGTTATACGTTATTACAAAAAAGAGCTCTCAGAGAATGCTCAGAGAGGCTTGAAAGAGCCACATGCAGGTGACTGGGGACAGAAGCCCTCTGGAGTGAAGCTGTTACACTGTGCTTTACGGTTATGAATTGAGAACGGCCCCTGACCTGCAAATGGAGTTCAGGAAAGGCTGCAGAGAGACCTTCATTGCTTTCCTTGGCCCTTCTTCCAGACAGGAAACATTTTATCACAAAATCAGTTTTCAGCAGCATATGGCAAGGAAAAGCCATTTTAAGATAGGCTAGCACCTCACACAGACTAGCTCATCTCTTACTAGCTCTTGCTTAATGCTCAGCAACAGGCAATGACTCAAAGTATTTGCTATCCAAGTCTACCTACAGTAATAGGTACAAAGCACTGTAATCCATTTCAGTCTGTGTTATACCGTGAGAAACCCTGACAGAATTGGGCCCACAAAATTGCCAAAGTGCAATAACTACTAATCAATGCCTGCTCCAAGCCAGAAAAAGCTCTTAATGGACTGCAAACATGCATCAAATGTACAGCGCGGGGGGTGGGGGAGGGGAGGGTGCAGAAATTCCCCTTCAGAGTATAACACCGAAGCCAGAAAGAGAAGCCAAGGTTTATTTCCTACTGGGTAGGTAGCCAGTCTCTTCTCAAGTTTGTACTGATACCCAAAGAACGATGCAGCTTTTTAGGGTGTGAATAGTGGCAAATTAGATGAATCTCAGACATCTGCCGAAAGAGATGACATGATCCAAAGCCTCAAGACCTTTGCATCCCATTTTCCTCAGTTCTTTACTACACTGCAGAATAAAGGGAAATTTAGGTATGTACCAACCTCTACCACAAATGGCACTTCTACTTTAGGTTAATCTTGAGATTTAAAAAAAATAAGCCCTATCTTCCTACAGTGAACTTGGGGCTGAGGACATAGTTCAGTGGTACAGTGCTTACTTAACATTAGACAGACTGGGTTTGACCCCCAAAACAAAATCATACACACACCAAAAAGTCAACCATTTCTTAAACAGCTAGTCTAAATTACACAGTCTTTCTCCAGGACACAGTATCATACAAGCCTGCCCTTTACTCTCTAGAAGAAAGCTCCCAGGATCTGCTCCAGAAGCAACACCACTACTTTGTTGAGTGATGAATCCACTCCTACTCACCCTGTGGGGTTCATTTCCTCAAACTCACTGGTCACCCACTGGTCCTCTGGGCTCCACCTCTCAGGGTCCTCTGTCCCCCTCAGGGAGATATGCAGAGAAACTCAAGTGACAATTTCTGTGTTTCATCTAAGTTTCTTCCAAGATCCAACGTTCTCTAGGTCCAGGCCAGCTTTTAGACAATATTGGTCTAAGTCATCATGGGTACTTAACAGAAAGCAGAGACTGGACAGCAAATGTATCGATGTTCATTTGCAGTTTTTTACCATGGATGAGGCAGGAGAAACCCAGCAGAACTGAAGGAAAAAAAACCCCTATTTTTGTCATTTAATCAGTGCAATCTTGGGCAGTGTAATCTTGGGCAATGACACTCACTTCGGCAACAGCACACATGAGCAGAGTGGTTCTCATACAGGCAGGGATCATTCAAATACACATCTGCCTGCCTCTTCCTCTCAATCACAGAAACAGACAGGGATGCTGCCTCATCAAAGGTACTATGGTCAGGGACAATCTACAGGCATAGGAGAAGAAATGAGTAGGGCACGACTGGGTTGGTGTTTATAACTTACAAGTGAGAGCTCTCTAAAGCAGAAGCTTCATTTTACAGAACAGTGCTTCCCTGCTTTTCTTGCACTGTCAGAAATGGAACCCAGGGGGCCTTGAACATGTTAGGCAAAAGCTCTATTACTGAGCTATAATCCTGGACTCTGAAGAATTTCTTTAAAAGCTTAGTTTTTCAGTAGAAGATGAGAACTGTGACAGTTGGTATCCTGTTCCTATGTCGGGCTGGGGGAGAGAATTTGGATACTAAAAAGGCCAAACTACTATTATTCCAGATTGTGCACTGGAGGCTATTTTTTTCCAGTTGGCCCCAGAACTCCCATCAGACAAGACATCACAACAACTGCAGGAAAACTGCAGACGACTAGGATTCATTCTTAAAGAGATTTAATTATTTGAATTGCATAAAGGGGGACAGTACATTTAAATCTCTGCTACATCACAAACTGCTTTTTGTTATTGTTGTTGCTGTTTCATTAAAGGCCCACTTATTCTACCCACCTTTGGGTTTATGGCTATAGAATGTAGGGAAAACAAATATTAACATTAGAATGAGAAAAAGAATCTGTTCTGTTTACCAGGATGCCCTCTCTAATGAAGAACAGGTCCCTTTCAAAAGAAAGGAAGGAAAATGGTAATGGGCTATCCATAACCAGTGATGATCCAGGGAGAAAGAGACAGAAAAGGAAATTAGAAAAGCAGGGCTTGGGTGTTTAAAAGTTTTCCTTTAACCCATACGCTAACCCTCCATGAATTTGAATCTTCCTTTGATTTCCGTCCAACCTATTAACCCTAAACCAACTTTCCCTGTCAAGTGAAATATAGTAAAGCTGTCATTTCCATAAGGAGGTCTGATTTGAGCACTGAAGTGATTTACCAACCTTCTCAGAGAGCCTTTTTAAGAAGAGCATAGCTTTACGGGCAGTCTTTGAAAACTAAGGTTCTTTATCAGTAGGACACAGAGTCACGTGGCCCACCAAAAAGCACAGGCCACAAAACAAGATCTCCTCATATTGTTTTCAGGCTAAAATTTACTGTTACTATAGCTTGGGTGGACAGAAACCAAAGCAAGGAAGCCCTTCTGGTTCTGCAAGCCCACATGGTGGAGGGGCAGAAGAAGCTGTAATCTAGTGGCTCTAAATAACCAGCATTTAGTGTTATATTAGGACGAAGGATTTATTCCACAATATAAACTGCAACATTTGATACAAGCTACCAAAAATGGGGGGGGGGGGAGAAATGGGCAGGGAGGAAGCCAAAATACAGCTGTGGCAATTACTTACAGAGCAGTCTCTTTTCTACATCACTAGTTCATCAGTGACACTAGAAACTAGACATTTGCATTCTGTACATCAATCAATTGCTGAAGCACCAACACACTGTTCAGAAGTTTGTTTTGTTTTGTTTTAATTCCAGCCACTGAAACCAACATAGAAGTTATTGCTCAGATAAATAAACCTAGTCTACTAGAGGGAAAAAAAAAAAAAAAAAAGTGGATAGAGAAACAAATAAACAAAAACCCCAAAAGTGAAAAACTTAAAATTCCCCAATATGGTAACAGAGTAAACAAGATAAAGATTCCTCAATTGAGGATTTACTGGAACTTCTGGTGCTCTTTTTGGGCACTGAAACTGAGTTGGACTCCTACGCCGGTAAATCCCAGACAGAGGTACAATTTTAATGCTGTACATGAAAAGGTGCAAGCTTCAATGCCTTCCAAATTGGTGGAAACCCCTGCAAAAAAGAGTCAGCATTTCAAACCTCAACAACCACAAACAGCTCTTAAGGAAAAAAATACAAAAATTGTCAAAAATTTTTTTCGTTGTTTTTTCTTTTTTTCAAAGAGTTCTGGAAAAATGATCCCGTTAGGAATAGAAATAGCACCGTGTACAGGCTGGCTTGAACACCAGTCCTGTAGCTTTGCTGAGATTTGAGGAAATCATCTTGGTTGGAGTCCTGAATTACATTAAGTGGGGTGTTTGTTTTGTTTTTACTTTCGGCTTGGTGCGTCCTTCCCAGTACAGCGCACACAGATGTAGTCTTCTTTCTCTGCCATCTCTGGAGAAACACCAACACAGACCTGATGAAACCACTGATTGCAGCTGCCATCACACTGGACCCAGTCCACCTGGTTACAAAGAGTAGGGAGATGGGATGTTCAGAGGAAAAATATGATTCAAACTCGGATAGGCCAGCCTCACGATATTCAGGCCGTTTGCCATTAACGGCCTCTTGTCCCACCACTGGGACCCTCTGGCACAACAGCCAGGCCATGAGTGTAGCTGGCCAACCAGCCAAAGCAACCAAGTCAAAGTCATTCTTCATGTCGTGACTGCTTTGGGGTTAAGACAGTGCTGCCTTTGACAGTAAGCAAAAGGGCATTACATCAGCATCCCTCCCACCTTCTTAGCGCCGGGACGGTGAAAGCTGGAGGAGCAAGAGAAGGAAAAAGGGAAGAACGAGAGTTTTCTTCAAGAAAAGGGAGGAGACCCAGGAACGATGTTAAGAGCAGAGATATCAGTGGGGGTAGGACTGAGCAATCCATTCAGATCAGCTCAAAGCAGATAAGCAGAAGAGAAAGACCCAGCGAGATGAGGTCTAGTTTACAGGGTTTCTGAGTTAAGGGAAAGCAAGTCCTCTATGGCCCAAACCTCACTGACCTCATCTCCTTCTGGCTGCAGGCAGCTCACAGCAGGACAGATGGCATCTTCATCCTCAGAGTCCTCCTGCTCGGAATAGGATGTGTCTGAGGGCAAGGAATGAGTTTCAGCAGAGCGGACTAACTCATAGCTACGCTCCCTCTCTAACTTGAAATTGTTTATGTCCTTGGGGTGGCTCAGTTTTATTTTCTTCTTTTTGGGGGTCCGCATTTTCTTGACTCGATCCCACCGCTCATTGGAGAGGCCTTCTCTATCCAGGCGTCTCTTCAGTTTCCTCTCAAGACTGTTGATTCCATCTCGCTTTCCCCGACAGCAGTCATTCTGGATAGAAGATGAGCAAATTCAACTTCAGCTTACAGTTCCCACACTAAAACTTAGTGAAGCTAAAGGAAATGTGTAAAGGGAAAACCAGGTAATCCTGTAGGATATGCTCAACTGTATCCTAACCACTATGACCACTCCCCACTCCAGGTTCCACAGAATGAACAGTTTGTATTGAGCCTCCTTCTTTCTTCACTGAGCTACCAAAGAAATACTGCAAAAAGAAAAGGAAAGATATGATTTGCTATGAAATTAGTCAACCGCTGGGGATTTAGCTCAGTGGCTTAAGTGCCTACCTGGCAAGTATAAGGTCATGAGTTTGATCCCCAGGACCAAAAAAAAAGAAGAAATTAGCCAACCAACACCAGAAGATGAAAGATGCCCAAAACACTTATTTTTGCCAAATCCATAAAGTGACTGCCTCTTACAGAGTTTCTATCTAGGCATTTTTGTCTATCCTTTGAGTTACAGGCTCCTAATTAAGGATATACATTCCCATTCCTTAAAGGAGTAAAATGCATGAACCAAACATCAAAATGGTGCTAAAGGTATCATAATGAAAAACAACATTCTAAATGCCAGCGTTCTAAATTAGCCCTCATGCTATCTTTTGTAACATTTTTCCCTAACATGGCTGTTTTCCCAGTAGATTTCAATCTTCTGGGGCTTTGAATTGGACAGGTCAGTTAGTTCCTGTCAAAGGAAGCAGCAGCAGTCGCTTTAACTCTACTAAGACACAGGATGTTATATTACAGAATATCCTTCTAGTAATAGTAAGTGAGCACTCAAGAAGGGCAGCTTCAATCCTTACATCAGCGATTTTGTAGGTCTGGAGGAGTAAAACAAAGCATGTTCGAGACTGACTCTAGATATGTTATTTTCAAAATATATTATAAAACGTCCTCCCTCAAACTATAATTACATTTTTGTCACTGCAGTGCTTCTCTTATAGGGCAAAAATAATCCTACTTCTCATTATTACGGAAAGTAACGATGATGGGAATGATATGGTACATACCTTTCTAAAAGGGGGGGGGGGGGGCAGGGAGAAACTTACACAGCAACTTAAAATGACCCAATCCCAGGACATGAGCCAGGATGTAGCAGTAGACATCCAGTCCCTAGCATCTCACCAGCACCCTTGAGAATAGAGCTGTGAAGTAGCCAGCTTGCATCCTTTTGTGGATCAAATACTGTCTTCCTTCACCGAACTGAGAGGAGCAACACTGAAAGCACATCACCACTGCAGACTGCTCCCTGGGAGCCTCTTAAGACACTCACCTTCTCACTGCTGGGTCGAACTGGTGAGCTTCGGTCAGTCTGGGAAACAGGGCTTGGCTTTGCAAGGAGAGTCTGGTAAAGCTCCTGAATTTCAGGAAGGGATACTTGGAGCAACTGAGCTTCCATCAACAGTTCATTCACTTCCGGACTGATGCCTGTTCAAGATCACACCCAGTCAAAATGATGACAAGTGCCTAACATATGCACATTTAAGCCTGCGAGAAACACAGAAAAGCTGCCCCTCATTCCACTCCCACCCTCTCCTTATGATGCATTCAGTTCACATGGGTTCATTTAGCTGCCTAAAGCCACAACCGAGTCTAGACTAGATTCCCTCACTTCCAATTCCTAGGGAAGTAATAAACCACAACTAAATCCTCCTCCTGGCTATTTCTAATGCACAAGAGATATCACAGGACCTCTGCTCTTTGATAGCTTATGCCAGAAAGCACAGAAACATGTTGTAGTTCAGAGCACAAGCAGTCTATGTGAAGGAGGTAACTAAGCATCACAATTCCACATGCAGCTTTAGGCGGAGCTCATGGGACAGTCACTCACAAATGAGAAGAAAGAAACTACGTCTTCAATGTGGACTATCCTTAAGAGCTTCCACAAGCCTCTTAAGTAAGGAAGAAACAAAGAAGCCCATGACTCACTTAAATACTAGGTGTGTATTTATTTGGCACAAGATTAGCTCTTTCATCCCTAAAAACAATGAGTGACAATGCCTTCCATTTTGGTTTCCCTTCCAGTTATAAAACATTCAAATGAACCCTCCACTACCTAGCAAATGCACAGTAACCTACATCCTCCATTTAAGGATAAAATTCTTTATGGTAACAAAAACCTTGTACAAGATGTCCTGTTAGGGGCTGGGGATTTGGCTCAGCGGCATAAGCGCCTGCCTTGCAAATGCGTGGTCGTGAGTTCGATCCCCAGTACCGATAAAAAAGAAAAAGACCAAAAAAAAAAAAAAAAAAGAAAAGAAAAGAAAAGAAAGATGTCCTGTTAACATATAGCCCTCAAAATAGTATTAGTAAAATACAAACCGTGGAGGGGGATACAACTCTGTCCAGTAGAAAAGGGGGAGTGTAAATATGAGGTTCGGTTGTCCCAGTCATCAGGCAAGGAAAAGGATGTGGTGCCAGGAGGTTGAGATACCTAATAAAAGAAAAGTATCTTATACAATAAGGCTTTTTCAGAATTAAAAATACTCTCACCAGTCTAATGAAAGTCCTCCTCTCCCTCAGTCCCCCATAATCCCAGTCTCTCAAGTACTAAGATTACAGGTGTGTGTCACCATGCCCGGTGACTTCATTTTCTTAAAATGAGAAGATTCTTCTGCCGTCTCAGAACTCACCAGTTGACTTAATATCTTCCAGGGAAAGAAGTCTTTAATCTTTTTGATTTTAGACAGAGATAAAAACCTTTGGGGAATAGGTCATTTTCTTTATGTGAAAATAGACCATACAGACTTTTTTTTGGTCTTTTTTGAGACAGGGCCTCACTTATGCAGCCTAGGCTGGTCTTGGACTTGCAGATCCTCCTACCTCAGCCTCCCGAGTGCTGGGATTACAGGCGTTCACCACCAGACCCAGCTCCACAGACTTTTAATCCTCATGTAATTCTCTATATTAAAGATTAGAATGCAATGAACATAGGAATGCACCCCTTTAAATAAACCAAACTAGCACTTGTCAGAAATCATTCACATATATGCCTTCTTCCCTCAGTGTTTTATTTAAGGAAGTAGACGAGAGTCCTGTGACACGAGTAAATAACAGTGTGTACTTTTCCTTTATCAATAAAGGTAACTAATTCCTAGCACATCCTGGGTAAAGACCAATGACTCCATAGCAGCCTGGCTGTCTATACAGAAATATGTAACTGGTCATCTACTATGTGCCAGGCACTGTATTTCAGAAGCTTAAAGGAAAAAAAAAAGGGAGGAAAGGAGAAAGACAAATATGACATTTTTTGGTTGTTATTCCTAATCTGCTAAGCAGTTAGCTTACATGTCTGTGTTTGTATGGTACATGAAGAGTAATTATCTGCAATAGAAGAATACATACTAGACTTAAATGCTAAATTACCTTATAAAAAGACTGAATATTGCTGTTCTTTATACATTATGCATTCCTAATATCTTTCCTTTCCTGCATCCATCCTTGAAAGAAGACAGAAAATTGCCAGCAATCCCAATGATGATGAGAAGCTGCTTTGGGTAGGAAGACTGCATAAAGCCAGACACAGTAAGCCACACCTGTAATCTCAGCACAGGAGGCTGAAGCAGGAAGATTGTTGTGAGTCTGAGGCCAGCCTGGGCTAGAGTGAGTTCAAGGCCAACCTTAACTATATAGCAAGACCTTGTCTCAAAACAACAGGAAAAAAAACCCCAGATAGATAAAAAGTACATAAGGTATTGATCCCATAGCCCTTCCTCCAAAACAACACAGCACTCCCACACTTTAAAAAACTATTCTTCTGCTTGTAATCCCAGCACTTGGAGGCTGAGGTACGAGGATTGTTGAGAGTTCAAGACCAGTCTGGACTACAAAGTGATCTCAAGACAGCCTGAACAAGACTCGTGTCTCAAAAAGACAAAACAAAACAAAAAAAATTCTTCAAAAGCTAAAAAAGGACTGAAGGTAGAAAATCTTCCCTTTCTACTCAATGACTTTCGTCTAAGTAGGGAAAAACTTTTTAGTGAAGCTGACATTTAAAATACATATGTTATATATACATAGACAAATAATGGAAAATTTACTTGAACACATGACAAGGTAAGCACGTGTTATACAGAGAAACAGGACATAAGAACAACTGACTATTTAGGAGCAGAGGAAACTTAAAAGGGTGCAGCAGATGGGCACGGAGTTGGAGTGGGAAGTTCTGGACTCAGTAAGGCTAGGAACAGTGAAGGGATTGCCAAGGACACCAAGGGTAACACCAAGGCTACAGCATAGATCTCTGCAGAGTCCAGCAACCTGAAGTCTTAACTCACCTTGCTTGTCTCTGACACCTGTCTCCCAGAGGTTTGCCATCTGCTAGATAACAGTCCTGAGCTGACTCGGTCTTGCACAAATTTTAGATTCCCTGATGAAAGCAGCTGCTGGGCTCTGTGTTGCCAGTTCACGGTTCTCTCAATCATATACCGAAGTGCATCTCCCTCAGGAAGGCGAACTCGGATGCGCTGCAGGGAAGCCAGCAGGGGCAAAATTTTCTCTAAGGGAGGTTTCTCTGACCTCCGACAGTGGGGACAAAGCCAGATGCGGGGATTCTGTAAAGTACTGGGTACTGCCACACAATTAGTATGGAAAGCATCCCTGCAGAGTTCACACTGAATCATAGGAGTTGCTGGGGCCTTCTGACATAGGCAGACTTTCAACTCCACATCTTGGACAGGCGACAGCAATTTCCCTTCATTGGCAACTCTGAGAGACTGCAAGGCTTCCATTTCTCGTAGGCGAGCTTCCCCAAGTGTTGCCATCTGAAAAGGAGTTAATGATTAAGGACATTGGCATAGAAAACTCAAATCTCTCTCTCAACCATGTACAACTCAAGGCCCTAATAGTTAAAAACATGGGCTTGAGAGTAGATTATCTGTATTTGAATCCTGCCTCTGCCTCACATTAAGCTGTGTACCCTGGGGCAACATATTTCCCCACGGCTAAATTTCCTGTGTGCATAAATGGAGATGATAGAGAGTACACTTTGCAGTGCTGTAATGACAAGCAGGAGATGAAAGGCATCCCTGGGTCAATGCCAGCCTGGCAAGTGTGATCATGGTCATTAGTTCCATTACTGGTACCAAAACAAACAAACAAACAAACAAATGAAAAACAGACCACTGTGTGTAGTGCTTAGTAAACTCTTAAGTGCTTTTACTTCATATACATTATTTCTTTTAAGTTTCACTTCATTTATTGACGAAAAAATTTGTTTCTCTTTATACTCTGCATGTACTAATTTCTGAGACTCTCCAACTGTTTTCAGTTCCATTAACTTTTGTATTTTTCTAGAAAGGCACCTGAGACAGTCTAGTATAGTCACTACACAGTAGCATTCTGTCTCTTACTGCTATTCAACACTAAGATCCCTCTGTATATAACTACAAGTAATGAAACTAGACTGGACGCTTAATGAAAAAATTAGAGGCCATTTCATAAGATTTTCTTATATATACATGCTGTAAAATAAAATTAGAGCAAAGACAGAAAGCAAGTAATGTACAAGGTGGTCTTCTTACAGAAGCTGCAATGTACTCAGGCATACTCATTCTCTTTATAAAAGAAGAGTGAAGTCCCCAAAAAGTGCTGAGTTTAGCATGTATGAATGACTTGAAAACAACAAGTCCAGTCACAAGTGACACTGACTATAATTTCTAACCACTGTGTACAAGCTGCATGTAGATCGAAGGTTTTGTTTCTGCAGGTACTGGGGACTGAACTCTGGGGCACTCTAAATAAATGAGCTATACCTTTTCTTATTTTTTATTCTGAAACAGGGTTTTCTTATTCTAGCACAGACTGGCCTTAAACTTGCAATCCTCCTGCCAGTTACTTCTATAAAAGAATTGTACCATTATAGCTCTCCTCTAGCACCTCACTGAAAGATAACAGATAACATGGGGAGAAATTATCAACTTGATTAACATTCAGCTTTCCTCCCTAGAAACAAAAGCTATAGATTGCAGGGCCTGTTCTATTTTCCAAGTATTCAAAATATTAACTTATCATAAAACCATTTTCAATCATCACATTCTTCCACTTTCAGACTACCATGTTTTATCAGATGAAGCCAGAATGTGATTCCATTATTTCCTTTTTGGATTGGGGAAGAAATGTATAAATGAGGTGTACAGGAAAAAACAGATCTGAAAGTAATTCAGATAATGAACTTTGGGTATATTAAGGTAAACTCTACTTAATTTTTATAGTTGAATATAATGAACAGCAATATATATGGATTATGTGAAAACAAGGTACCCCCACATAGCTTAGAAATAGTAACCAAATGACTGACCTTTCAGGATTCTACCATAAATCAGTAGATTATGTGTAGAAGTTTGTAAACCAGGAGCCCATGGATTAGCTACAATGTATGAAAGATACTACATGCAAAGTTTCAAACATATGTGCATTTCAGAGGAGAAGGACTGTAACTTTCAGTTAGTTCTGACAAGAATGCACCACACATAACACAAAATGGTACCCAAGTAGCAGAAATATATAAATATAACCCAAACCAAAGAAAGAATGTGTCATCTTCTTAAAGCCATCTTATTCTAAAGTGTTTATTAAGGCCAGTGGAGATGATGCTCACCTGTATTCCTAGCATTCAGGAAGGTGAGGCAGGAGAATCAACAGAGTTTGCAGCCAGCCTGGACTACATAATGAGTTCGAAGCCAGCCCAACTACATAGCTTAGACCCTGTCTCAAAAAACCAAGTATTTTTAAAATGCAGGTCAGACTTAACTAGGTATCTAATCTTCCAATTTTTTTTTTTACAGTGGTGTTAGGACTCGAATCTAGGCATGTACTCTGATACTGAGCTATTACACTTAGATGTACTTCTTACTATTTAACACCAAGTACATTTATTAGAAAAGAAAGTTATGAAATATCCTTGTATCTTTTGTATTTCCTCCTTGGCATTGCAGTCTTACATATTTGTTAAGTCTCGGTAGCCTTATCCAGCATTTCTGGATCAATCCATAGGCATTCCTTCTGAGGCCATGAAAGTCTAAGACTTAGAGTCCTACACTGAATCTTATGCACGTCTAGGCATATTTTTAGTTTATCTTTAGTAAAACTGAGCATTTTCAAATTATTCTACTTGCCTTCACAATATTCCTGTAAACCTAAAAAAATTAAAAATTATCCCCCTTAACAACAGAGAAAGAAGACAAAACCCAATTACGCACAGCTGAAGCAGTCTCTTTGCTTTCAGTTAAAGCCCTTTCCAGGTCACTCAAATTCTCCAATTTGGTATTTTTCTTCTTCCCACTTGGCAAAGGCTCCTTTAACTTTCTCTGTTTCCTTTTCAGTCCCAAAAGGCCAATATCACACCGGGGACACAGCACCTTAATAAGATAAAGCAGAACCACCGATAAAATGGATTTCAGATAAAGCAAAAGAAAAAAACTCTATTAAATAAAAATAAGAAAAGGAAAGAAGGCTTGCTCAAAATAGACTCTGATTTCAGATTCAATTAAGTAAGTAAAATGCAAAATATACCAACTGATTCCATGATATGTATGAGCATTAGCTTACAGAAAACACTTTATGAAAGGGAGCTGAAATCATCAGGTACCAAGCTTACTAGAGTCAACCCTAAGCACGACCAAGTTTAACAGTCCAGTTTCTACAGACTTCACACAACATGCAAAAGGTTCTTCTTTAGACACTAAATACTACTCTAAACGCATCCATAAAGTATTTAAAGGTTGCTAAAAAAACAACTCAAAGAACACAGATCCATTGGTCATGTGATGGCCTACATGTTTTACCAAGTTAGGAGACCTAGGTCCTTGCAGATGAGCTGGTTGAAAACTTACCTCTAAGAGAGAATATGGAGAATTCTCAGTCAAGAATGTATTAGCAGCACATTCTTTCCAAGCCTGAACCTCAGCTACTAGTGATTCCAGTCTTGGCAAAGAATTCAGATGCACTGGGATAGATCGACCTCTTGTAACAAGTTCTATGAGTGTGTCTAACACTGGTACACGTCCTCCAGCCTAATAAATAAGAAAAATTATAGGAATTTAGGGAAAAAATACTTTTATATAAAAAATAGGGTCCCTGATCAATGGATCAATTCAGATTCCTTCATAACCTCAGCATGCTGAATTCACAGATGCTGATAAAATGTGCAGCTTATCAGTGGTGACAGAGGTAGGAGCAGCAGCGCTATTTGTCTTCTTACCTTACAAACAACCAGAGAACCTGGTTTGTACCAGGCCCCAAAGCATAAAGATACTAACATGACATACTCTGTTCTGACTTACAGGCTTCTAAACTGACTCACCACACTATTCCCCATGGGTAGTCTAGAAAAACAGAAAATCAACAGAAAGAAAAAATACAGTAATTCAAGATTTTCCTATACTGACTTACATTTTTAAAAAGCAACCGAAGAATACTTTACTCCAATCCACTCACCAATTAATTACCATATTCAGTATAAATTATTCAGAAAACTAAAATATGAGCTAAGAAAGCCCAGTGGTTCTTAAACTTTAGCATGCATAGGAATCATCTGGAAAGCTTGTTTGAACACAGTTTCTTGAGTCCCACCACCACATACTGATTCAATGGGTCAGAGATGGTCCATAGATTTGCATTTCTAACAAGCTCCAAAATGCTACAGCTGCTGCTGCTAATCCTGCTGGTACAGGATACTTTAAAATGTTGCTTCATTATTTACATGCTCTTCCTATGACATTTAAATACAATTATATGGAGTGTTTCCTAAATGTAAGGAAAAAACCAAGTAACATTTAACAATAATCGTGAGTAACATTTAAAATAAACAATCCAGGAAAGGGCCAGGGATATATAGCTCAGTGGCATAAGCACCTGCCTGGCAAGTGGCAAGGTCCCAAGTTCAATTCCTGGTATATTTCCCACCCCCGCCAAAATTCATTAAGTATGAAGTTGGTCTGTGATTGTTACATCTAATAGTCCTTAAATATGATGAAAGAAAAAGGCTATTGTTTTTCAGGAATGGAGCAAAATCTTACCTTTTGCCCTAAGGTAACTGACGTAAGACAAATGAAGGGATAAATATATCCAAAAGTGTATGTGCCTTTGTTTTTTGACTATATAAGCTAGCCAGCTTTTTCCTCCTTACTGTAATGATCTCACCTTTTGGCTGCTACCAATCATTGAGTGAAAAGGAGGACCATAACTAAAACTAATTGCTATAGTACCAACAATCAATGACAAAATGTTGCAAATACAACTTCTACTAATGAAGTCTACATCTGTAGTAAACACTTTTCTTTGTATTTATTTGGCTTGCTAGGATTATCCCTTAATTATATAATTTCTTCAATGTTTTCTCTATTTTCTAGAATAGACATCCAGATGTTTTGTTATAAACATCTGTTTAGAACTGTCCTGTTTGATGTTTCTTGCTAGCAAACTATCCAATTAGCACCACAATTAAATTTACACAGATATTCAGAAAAACAGAAAGTATTTATTCTAGAATCTGAAGGATTCAACAAAACCAGAGACTTTTTCTTAATAGGCCAGTAATATTATAAACCTGCTGGTTTATAATATTAGAGAGGTAAAGGAAGATACTTCTTTTCCCACCAACCAATTTTGAAATTAAGTTATTCAGCTAAACATTGGATATATCATAGAAGGCATTATTTCTGTACCTTAATTATTTACAAGTGAATTTAGTTCTCCTTAAACTTATATGTAAGGAAATATGTACTTATATATAAGTAAACTTACATGTAAGTACTTGTAAGTGTATCACTTAGGAAAGGGCTACAAAATGTTGATGATAGTTAATTTGGGTAAGTTTTTCTTTTTTTTTCTTTTTGTCTCCTTTCTTTTTACATGGCTAGGAGGATACTTTTGTTTAAGTTATACTTGGAAAAAATTCTGGATTCTGGGGCCTAGTTTGGTCATGTTACCATATAACTGAACTGACTGGCTCAACTACTCCTGATTAGGTAGACGCCAGTGCTCTTGACAAGCCAGCAACAGGCAACCATATGTAACAAAAAGTAAAACCTGTATCTTCTCCACTTCCTTTTCCAGCCTCTTTACCCTTCACTACAACTCTGTACTTAAACTTGTTACAAAGGACTCCCCAATTTCAAAAAGGCTGGTTGAATTATTTATGCCTTAATTATCTCAGTCAACTTGTCAGGTAATAGCTGGTAAATACAACCAAACAGGCCTAATAGAATAATCAGATCAACTTCCTAAACACTGAATCTGTCACCTAAATTAGATCCAATAGATTATCCTTTAGCAAGTTTTCCAATTATTGCTCTTCAAAGACTGACTGATACATTCAGGACATTTTTTTAACGAACCTGCAGGGTCTCCACATCCTGAAGCCAGTCTCTGGCTCTCTGCACTGAATCTTTCAAGGCTGCACCATTGGGCAGATACGCAGGGATCTCCTCAATCTCCTTTACTGCAGTAGCAAGGCTGCTCAATGAAAGTCGTGGTCTACAAACATGAAACACAAAGATTTCTCGGTATTTTATATGATGGTTTGTTTTTCTTATAATTAACTAAAAGACTAGAAAAATCACTGCAAGAGAGATGGGGGGGCAAATGGCACTGACCATTAGATCTCAAATTAACTAGGTTCAAATAAGATTTAAGAGCAAATAAGATAAAGCAAATGACTCAGTGAAGTATTTAAGATCTACTTGTTTCTGATTTTATGATGGCATAAGCTCAAACTTTGATTTATACCTCATAACTAACTTACTGATCATTAATTTCTCCTGTATAAAACTACATACAATATGAAAAGTCATAGTTTTATTTTAAAAATTAAAATTCTTCAGGATACTCAACAGTACCCCAAATTTTTGCAATCTCTCTGCTCAATGACCACTATTTTAGGATTACAAAAGAACATTTACGTAACTCACTGTTTCTATGCTTTACATTATTATATGGGCCAAGTAAAATCTGTCATCAGAAAGTGAAGTTTCATTCTCTTTTTTTCCTCAGATTGTTAGCCTGTATCCAATGTAACCTCTCAAAGAGGTGAAGTATTCTGATTTACTAATCAAGAGCACAAATGTATCCTATTTCTGCTGAAAATATTCAATCTTCATTTTATAGAACCATACATGTTAACTCTCCAATGTTTTTCTTTCAGGCTTCTTGGGATCTTATTAGCTGTAGTTTTAAACAGTTCCATGTGTTATTTGAAAACTTTCTTCTCTTAAAGACAATACATATCACTGTGGTCCAGAGAAGTTTCATTAAACTATTGTCTCTCGAAAACGTGTGCCCATTTGAAACATTCGTTTCATAGTCAGTAGTAACTGGACACTTCTAAATGTTAATCATGGTGCTCTATGCTCTAAGATGGGACTCTTGTCCGGCTTCCTGCCAAGAGAAAGATGTCAAATTTGCTTTTTTACCTGGCCCTAAGAAGACTCTTGGCTTTGTCATCCCAGTGCTCTGACACTGTGAGCAATTCTTGCAGCCGGGCCATGGCTTTCTCCACTGCTGAGTATGGTGCAAGCCCTACCCCAAGATCTATGAGACGTCTCATATCATCTAAAGTAAGGGAGCTGGGGTCTAGGCAAGCTTGCTGCACCTCTTCTAGCCAACGGGCCTGCTCCAGACGGGTTCGCATCTCAGCAAGCTGTGGAAGTTCAACATCAAATTCAAAGCTGATGTCTAGCAAGTCCTGCAGCTCAGCAGCACTAGGCATTTCCTCAGAGAGTAGTTTCTGACTATGCTGCTGGAAATCTTCCACACGATTCAGGAGATCCTAACAAGAGCAAAAAAAAAAAAAAAAAGGTAATGCATAAGACAAATTATAACTAACTGACAAGAGACTATGTAATAAAGTAAAAGTTTGCAACTTTATCTCTCCTCTGTTGGCCTATTATAAACTCTTTACACAGATTCATCACCTAATCTTAAAAAAAATTTCTGGAAATAAATGTACACATTAGCAACTAAAGAAGAGTACTCAATAATGTCAATTGAGTTCATTAACAAAATATAGGACCATCAAAGTACTCCCACACGTACAGGTTTAGTTACCTTTAGCAATGGTGTTTGACTGAGAACACATGGAAGAGCATACAACTGTGTTACAAACTGTCGGAGTTCATTCACTGTCAACTGATTTTGGGATTTCCCTCCACCAGATCGGTATCTGTAAAAGAAGGATCCAAAGGAGACATGATATCATGTATGTTCATTACTCATAGGTTCTGGCATCACAGGAATCCAGGGCAGAAAGAAAAGCCAACCACAACAGGTTTCCAAGTTTAGCTGCCAAAGAACCTAACTGAGTCAGAAGTACATACCTCGTCTGTCTTTTGCCATTAAGCAACTGCTGGGCCACAGAAGCACACTTCTCTGCATCCTGTGTGACTAAACGAAGGTGGCGTAAAAGATCATTGTCTGGGAATTTCTTCATTTCAGACTCTTCAATTAAAGCCTTGAAGTTAATAAGGCCTAGGAATAAAGAAAAGGTTACTTTTTCTGTGATTATTTTTACTATTACTGTTAGGAAAATGAGAGTGTGAGATTGCATTTCATCAGCTATCTATACACATAACAAAACTATGGCAATGTTTACATCATTAATAAATTTGTTCAACTGATTTAGAGGGAAGGGATGGCTGGGCAAGAAGTTTTTAAAACAAATGCATAACCGGGCAACACGGTGGTACATGCTTTTAACCTCAGCACTCAGGAGGCTTAGCCAGGAAAAATGTCCACAAGATTACCAACTTGGGCTACACACTACATAGTTATTTCAAGGTTAATCTAAACCACACTGTGAGATTCTGTCTCAATAAAAACAAACAAAAAATAAAAAATAAAACAACACATGCTGGCAATGGTTTTCAATATGTAAAGGTTAAGATCTGATGGGCTTAAGAAACCTAGAAAATGGGAAGCAATTTGTAAAATCAAATAAAAGACATCACATTGTGGGTTGGCCCAAATCTTCTCCCCATCAATTTATTTTTCAGTTGGCAAGTAACTGGTATGCTCAGAGTGAGAGATATTGTTCCTTTTCCCTAAGTGAAAGGGAAGAGTTACCTGCTACAACTACAAAAATGAAAGCAAGTGAAATACTTTGAAAGAGATAGGAAGGCAATCAGTGACTTTCAAAGGCACTGAAAAGGACATTGGACCCTAACTGCTTAAAAATAAGAAATGATAAACCAGTATTTTAGAGATTCCTAATTTAGTGGCATGCTGCCTTTTTGCAATTTTTTGCAAAGTATATACAAAGCTTTTCTGAGGTTTACATGAAATGTAATATGCTGAAAAAGGGAGGTATAAAGGGTAATTCTGTTTCCCAAGCTATCTTGCATAATTCATACATCAGCACTTCTCTTTGATGTAGGACATCTTACTCATCCACTTGTAGTTTTAAACTCTTTGCCAGTGCTCTGGAAACCACCTGACGGAGAAACTAATCAAGAATGAAATCAGGCTGTTCCAAGTTAATCTCTTTTGTGACAACTCTACACTGGCTCCATCACAATAAGCCCAAATTTACTGTTCAGTAAGTAGTATTTGTTTGGGTATCACATACTTTTCTTCTTGTTGATCTTTGCCTCCAAAGCTTCATTCACATTCAAGGCCCATTCGTTGTAAGATTCTGCTCGAAGCTTCAATGCATTCATCATAGGGTAGAGATCATCCAGAGTGTACCTGTATCTGGAGAGACAATACCAGACACCTTAGAGATATACGGCTCTGGAGAAAACTAGATGTCTTTTACTTAACATCTCAGGCCCGAGCTTTTAGTAGACTCAGTACTGTCCATAGAAAAAGATATTTTTCCTACTTACTGAAGTTTGTATTTATATGGAGGGCAGGAACATAGTTCTTTTACATGATGCAGGCAGACAAGTAGTCCAGGTTTACAAGAACAGGAGATGGCAGACATGAAGCATGTAGTCTTGCATTTTATACACTGCCGCTCATCATCGGGCAACAGCTCAAAATCCATTCTTTCTGAGTCAATTACTCCCTAGAATTAAAATGTGCTTTAAGACTTTCAAAGGATAATATCATCTACCATCTCCCAACACAAACATCCAGTATCTGAGTTTCAAAAATGACTCCCCCAAAAGAAAAGCCTTATCGGGGCTGGGGATTTAGCTCAGCGGCATACGCGCCTGCCTTGCAAGGGGGCAGTCGTGAGATTGATCCCCGGTACAGATAAAAAGGAAAAAGACCCAAAAAAAAAAAAAGCCTTACCAAATATAAAATGATGAAAAATGAGTGGGACACAAAGTAACAATCATTTAGCAAATATGGGCAAGTTAATCTAATTCACTTATCTAAGAAGGAATCACTTTGGACAAGATGTTAAGTTTGCTCATAAGAGTATGAAAAATAATTACCAGGACTAAAATATTTCTGAGATTAGCTTTCTATCCTACTCCAAAAATTGGCCTTGTCCAGACTTGGTTATAGATGAGAGCAAATGAACATGGGAAATACAAGTGCTTTGTAATTCTAAGAAATTACTAAAGAGGGCTTCAGAGTGGTATTACTGGAAAACCTATAAGAAGAATAAAAATAAAAGACATGGCAAATGGGAGAGACAATCATTCAATTGCTCATTTGGCTAAAATGTGGTCTTTTAGTCTTTTACATAAAAAGTTATTTTCTCAATTATCATCTGAGAAAGGTAGAAAAATGATGTCACGGACAGACTGAAGTTGTTTAATAAAGCACTTCCTAAGTAAAAGACTGTCAAGAAAAATAAGACCATTTAATAATATATCAACTTTAGTTTGTATCATCTGATTTCTAGAGGCCCTTCTGAGACGTATCTTTTGTCACTCAAAGCCCAAACTTCTATTACTTTTTCTCCTCATCTATAACTAGATCCAATCCTGAGGATGCTTGTACTAATTAAGTCAGTTTATGAACCATAAGTGCTTTCATTTTATTTTAAACTTTTAATCATTTCAAGTATAACAATTTTATAGACTCACAAAGATGAATAAGGAAAATGCCAACAAATGCAGTTTTGTTTTAATCTGGAATAGACCATTTTAAAAAAAAAAAGTGTTTTGTGGGCTGGCAACAGTGAAAATTTTTGTTTGAGATTAAAAACCAATCCTATGGATGTTAGTTGAAAATGAATTGTGTAGTTCACAACCAGTTTTAACTTACAAATTCTTTATCTGGAGAAAACATTATTTCTCAAAGTTACAAAAATTAGCTACCATTTTTATTTATTTTAGGTACCATTACTGATTTAAGACCTTGGAACATCACTTCAACTCTCTGGGCATTATTTTCCCCAGTATAAATACCAGGGGAAATACAGATATCCTGCACTTGATCCACAGTGGAAAGAAAGGACTCCACGCAGCCAACATTCCAGTACTCTACCCAAAGAGGCACATTTAATTAAAAAAAAAAAAATCATTGTGACTGTATTTGCAGATATGACTGACCCTGAAGAATCTAATAAAAATCTATTTGAAAAAAATCTGTTAAAAATTCATTCTAAAATAAACATGGAAAAGGAAAGGAACTTTTAAAAACAGACAAAATAATTTTTAAACAACCCTAAACACCTACTATTTAATTTTCAGACTTCTTAGAAAAGTTTAACTATTTGGTATGGATACACTAGGATAGATACATAGGTTAACAGAATAGGTCAGGCAAGCTCTCAGCACTCAGCCAGCCTGGACTCAATGAGGCAAGAAAAAATACCAATATATTGGACTTCATCAAAATGAAAAACCTGCCAGGCATGGTAGCACACTCCAGTAATCCCAGCAATAGGGTTTGGGAGACTGATGTAGATGGACTGCCAATTTGAGACCAGTCTGAACAATTCAGTGACTTAGCAAAAGCCTGTTTAAAAAGAACTTTTAAAGGTGGTGGTAAGGACAGTGATTTAGCTCAGGGGTGCAGCACCTGCCTGGCAAGCACAAGGTCCTGAGTTCAATTCCTAAACCCCCAAAACTGAAGATGTAGTTCACTGTGAAGACCCTAGATTCAATCCCCAGTAGAAACGAAAAAAAGAACAACTTCCTTTCTGACCAAAATATGCTAGCAGAATCAAGACAAACTAGACTGAGAAAAAAAATATTAGTAGAAAAGGTAAAGAGTATATAGAGCATTCTTACACCAACCTAATTTATAAAGAAGTAAAAGAAAGGAGTGGGGGGATACATTTGAACAGATGCTTTGGCAAAGAGACAGAGGTGACAAATAAGCACATACAGTCAATGTAAATAGAAATGACAATGAGACATTAGAGTGCATCCATTAGAATAGCTTAAAGAAAATTACAGACTAAGGAAAGATTACTGAAAATGGTACTAAAGTACATGAAGACATTAGTAAGTTAGATCTAGTGGCATCAATTACATTTTCATAAAACTTACCAATTTGTGGACAACTTCCCTTAAAGCTTTCTCATCCTCAATCATAATGGCCATGTCCTTCTGAACAGTGGAAGCCACTACAACATCCAGGACATCAGCCTTGGAAGCCATCTTGCAAATCATCTCATCATGGGAAAACACGCAATAACGGTGAAGCAAGCGATAATGTTCCACACACTGTCGACCTAATGGCAGCTGTGACAAAGGACAGAAGAGAGTGCATGCCATGTATTTGTCTTCTATTTCTACAGAATTCTCATTTGTACTATCAGATTTTCAAATATCACATCCTGGGTCAAAACACCATCTATCAAAAATATAACCAGACTTTAACCTTCCTGGACTAGACCCTGAGCTGTATGTATCCCAAATATCTAGTATATTAGATATCTCAATTGTCAAAGTACCTTTTAAAAATACATTGGTGATAAATTAAGGTGCATAATATGAACTATATATAAATATATATATATATATATAAATTTAACTACATATATACATAAATTACTACATATATACATATATAAATATGTAGTTCATATGTATATAAATATATGTAGTTCATACTACATATATAATATAAATTTCTTGAAATACTGCTGAACTACATTCAACCAACTTCAAGACTACATAATGGACCATAAATTTAGATACAGTTAATACTACTAGAAAAGCACTACAACAAAATTACAATGCAGACTTAACACCACATACTTTATCAAGACAATTATTTTTGGTAAATGAAAAGCATTAATAAACATTGATAAATACTTAATTTTAACTGAAACCAAAGATATCATTGAATTGCTATTGTAGATAATTTAAGCCAGTATGTGCAAAATCTCAAAATGGAATTGTCTGCTACAAGTTTGCAATGAACTTTACAGTATAAATCAACAGGCTCCTTTCTCCATGAAGAATATCATGCCACAAAAGCCAGACTACTAAGGAGGCTGAGAGAGGAGAATTTCTTGAGTTCAGGAGCTCTGGGCCAGCCTAGGCAACTAATGATACACCATCTCAAACAAAAGCAAAAACAAAAACTCTTTAAGAAAATCTTCCAACAAAAGAAAAAAATGGTGGGCTTGGGAAGTAGTTTACTGTTTAAGTATTTGACCTGCATGTACAAGGCCCTAGATTAATTCTCCACCATCAACAAAAGAAGGGGAAGTAGAGAAAGAGAAGAAAGAATAAAGAAAGAGTAAGAGGAGGAAGTGCTCAAAAGAACCTCAGCTGAACTAAGCACAGTACTTCCTAGTATCCTTGTTTTACAAGGTGGCCCAAGTGCCTTACCTAACTGTGGACTGGTAAACAATTTGCAGGTTGGCCCATTGAGCAGCAATAGGTGAAGTTACCATATACATGCTAATATTTAAAGTACCACATACCATTTCCACAGGAAAAACAACAAATTTGAAAAAGCTTGCTCACTCATAATTACATACCCAATCGACAGTGCAGAAGTTCACAGCCTCAGCAAAATTAAAACCTTGATTAAAACCACTGTGGTAGGCTCTTGGAAATGTAATCACAAACTCCCCAGCACACTGATTTGTTCGATAAACCTAAATAAATAGATATTGGAGATTTTTAATATTCTTAGATAGTGACATTTTCACCAAAGGTAATTTGGACATAGGCTATCAGATGATTTTACCAAAAAAATTAATTTTTCCACCAATTAAAAGTTAACAAACAAGACACCAGGCATGGTGGTGCATGCCTGTAATCCCAGCACACTCAGGAGGCTGAGGCAAAAGGACTGCTGAGAGTTTTGAGGCGAGTCTGGGGTACAGTGAGCTCAAGGATACCTTGAACTACAGAGTGAGATCTTGTCTCCTCCACCTCCCAATAAAGTGTTAACAAATAGTCATCGTTCAAGCCTGCTTATAATACCAGCACTCAAGAGACTGAGGTAGGAGTTTTACTACGCACTAACTAGAAGCCAGCCTTAGCTACATAGTAAGTTCAAGGCCAGCTTGAATTACAAAGCAAGGCCCTGTCTCAAAAAGTTAGTAACAACAAAACTGCTGTGATAGAATATCACCTAATTTTTGCCAGAAGATAAAGAGTAATATCCATGGTTAATTATTATCTAAAACCAAAAATATGGTTTATACTATAAAAGTATAGTCATCCCTTATGCCCCATCCCCTCTGAAAACAATCTATCGCTCTACTTACTATTATCTATCTTTTATTCGGAATCGGGATGTGTTATGTACATGCACCAACTCCACACAAGGAATGTAAAGATTATCAACTATAAACATGGATTGATAAATTTAAAAAAAAAAACAACTTGTAGCCACATCCAAGATCAAGATACATCTTTCTAAACACAGCTAGAATAAACTAATGCACTGATGGTAAACCTTTGAGAACTTTCAAAGGTAACCAACAGCCAGCCATGACAAGTGTGTCATAGGTTTGCCACCACCATTCTAATGAGTATTATCCCCAAATAGGATCTCTTAACAGCACTTTAAGAAATTCTGCTCTCTTTCAAGAATCTCACAATGTACTGAGCTCCTCCTGAACTAAACCTCACACTTAAGCTGCTATTATTCCCATTCTGACCCACCTTACACCAAAAGCACTTGTGTCTCTCTAGGCACGCAAATCCTTTATACAACTTACTACTTTTTAAAGCATCTAAATTTCTGTATCAGTGATTGTCTAGTGTAGTGCTTAGAAGAAACAGCAAAGACACCAACCTGGTACTTATTAGAAATGCAAACCATCAAGCCTCACTGCAAACCAACAACAGAATCAAAATATGCTGGGGCCAGCCGTGTACTTGGCAGAACAGAGGCTGTTTAAATACAACTTACTGCAGGAGCACAAACTCTTCTATCTGAATAACTTCCTCCTTGACCTGCTCTTTGCCAAATTCTATAATAAGTAGAAGCTCCAATTCCCACTTCAGGTGTCATCTCATTTAGGAACTTTTTCTGATTCTCAATAGTTAGTAATCTCCTACTTAACAATACTGTCAAGCTATATTACTCTTTCCACATTGGTATAAACATTGTCTTTTCCCTTAAACTCTGAATCCCAAAATGCAAGAGGAGTTGGCTTGTCAATTTCTATAGGTGTAGAATCTAGTCTTTTATGGTTCACCCAGAGTTAAGTCTCACATACAACAAGCTACATTTGATAAATGGGAAAAGACCAATCAAAATGAGGAAACGGAAAATACTAACAATGAAGAGATGGCAGAACTTCAGTACTTATTAATCATTATTTTCTAAGCCACAGTCCACACACAATGGATGATCTCTTCAAGCAAAGTCCTGTCTGTCTGCTCCTACTAGCAAGCCTGTGAACCTCAAATTATGCAATTTAGATCACAGCATGTTCAATACACATTTTATTTAGCTAAGTAGGATGGATTCCACAGCTTCATACATCTCAATCTGGCTTCCTCAAATATCTTCAGAATATTTTCTGAAAGGAAGCAGGCATAGTAGTGTCACTTCGTATGATAGCAACTTTAACAGCTCCTTTCAGTTCAGACTGGAAGCCATGAAATCCAAGCCCAAGAACCTCAAGTAAATTTTCACTTTAAGAAAATCCAATTTAGGGGCTGGGGATTTAACTCAGTGGCAGAAGCGCCTGCCTTGTAAGAACGCAGACACAAGTTTGATCCCAGGTACAAAAAAAAAAAAATCATATAGAGTCAATAAAAATTTCTGAATGTAAGAACAAAGTATGAAAACTTCTGATACCAGAGTTTAGTTCTAACTATAGCAGAATCTATCTACTTTCACAGTTTCACAGTAAACTAATTTATACTGACAATTATTTTTAAAGTTTATATTGCTGGACATGGTGGCACATGCCTGTAATCCCAACACTCAGGAGGCTGAGGCAGAAGAATTGTTACAAATTCAAGGTCAGCCTGGAAAAAAAAGTTTGTTTCAACTGATCAAAGCTATTGGGTGGGTGTGGTGACATGGCCTGTAATCTCAGTACTCAGGAGGTTAACAGGAGGATCACTGTAAGCCTGACACTAGCCTGGCCTACAAAGTGAGTTCAAGGCCAGCCTGAACTACAAGCCAGACCCTGGAAGGGATGGGAGATAAAGCTATAAGTAAAAAAATTATAGTTTTGAAAGCACTCACAATGATGAGTTATTCAATCTGTGAATATACTAAAACCACTGAATTGTATATTGAAAAACAATATTGTTTATTATTTGCAAGGTAAGGCTGCTCAGTAATCTATATAAACCACAAAAAAACCAAAAAAAAGAAAAAAGAAAGAAATTAGTTTTTATGGGGTCTGAGGATCTAGTCCCATTAGGTTAATACTAGGTAGTCCCAAACTGCATAAAATGGTTGCTTCTGCTATTACATTATACAATAAAAAATATATAACCAAGTCAATGAAAAAGTGAATTATGAGGAAAAAGAGAAGTGGTGAATTAAGTCTGAGCTACAGGAGGATTAATCCAGAACATACAGGCACTTCATGAGTCATCAGAGTATTGGGGTTCATGATGGTCACAAGCTGATGGAGGAGGTCAGGTTGGGACACAAAGAGCTCTGGAGCTAGTTTCTTCATGACGTTTTCTAGCTGCTCGGCAGCATACCCTGGGACACCATACCATGTTTTTGGCTCACCCCTGGAAATAAAATTATAAAAATAAATCAATCTACAACAATGACACCAACAAAATAATTAACCAACTCATTTTCCAGATCCTGCTCTGTGAGACTAAGTTACAATGGAATGTTCACACTGAAGAAGTATTAGTAATGTGATCCTTGGAGTATGAAGTTTAAGCAGAAGAATTTTCATCTGTGGTTCATTTTCAGCTGTCAGTTTTATCTAACCATTTAAAAAAATACACATAGCTACAATCTCTAAACTTTTAAGATATCACATTTGCTACAGGATATATGGTTACCAAAATTTCCTGTAACAATTGACAAGGGATGGCAACTGTTACGGTTTATATGTAGATGGCTCCCCAAAGCCTAGTGAAACCATAGGCAGGTGTTTGGAAGATTAGATTGCAAGAGTGTTATATATGACTTGTGTTACAAGGTAGCAGTCTAGTACTTGGAGGATATAGCTTCCTTTCCAGCTCTTCCTTTCGCTGTCTACTTCCTGTCCACCAAGCAGTGAGCAAGGATCCTCCATTACGCCTCTCTGCCATACCATCTGGCTCTGGAGCCAGCTGACTATGAACTGGAAAGTGAGACAAAATATGTAGACCTCTCTTTCCTTAAGTTGTAGGTGTCATACATCATTACTAAAGAGCTTATTCTTCAAAGCACTTTAAATCTCTAACATCTCTGTGATGTATGGCAAATATCATCTTCACTTTACACCTGGGAGCAACTGCTCAGGGAAGCATAACTGATCTTACACATACATGTGCCAATTTCCTTTTCTTGTGGTACACCCTCAAATTCCTTGTGTGGGGAACTGGAGCTATAGATCTTCAAATATCTGTATATTGAGAAGCAGGGGTGGGGGTGGGGCCGATGTGAAAAATGGCTTTGAACAGTTTAGTAAATAAATTCAAGTATCTGTACTAGCATACACACCCCAGCATCCTCCACATACTCTGAAGTGTTGTGATGCCAGAAAGCAGCACAACAAAAACGAAGCTGGCAACCCCAAGGACTTAGAAGACATGAAGTACCTATACTCTTGCTCCTCTCCCAGGGCAGATATGGGTTAGCACTGCCACCAAATGAGAATGCCCACAGTGAAAGCAAGGGTCAGTGCTCTGTAGCCTTTCTAAAGGTAAAGATTCCTTTACTTCAGATAAAAGCTATCCTGTCAGGGGCTGGAGATTTAGCTCAGCAGCATAAGCACCTGCCTTGCAAGCAGGCGGTCGTGAGTTCGATCCCTGGTACCGGAAAAAAGGAAACGCTATCCTGTCCCCAAAAACATGCTACACTTGCAAAATACTCTGCACAACTTCAGAGGACTCATGGACTTTCTAGGAAGCTTTATGAAACACTGTCTTAACCCGAAAAAAACATTTATTCTAACAGTAGTATGGGGAGCGGGGTATGCTACTTTACAGAATCAGATGAGACACAGCTGAGTGCATGAGGAAAGTTTTCGTCCCAGCCTGCAAAACCCATCATGGATTATGGAAACCTCACCAGTGCAAGTAGTTAATTGAATAGCTCCAGTGGTCTTCGATATGCCAGCAGAAGGAAGAAAAGCACATTCCCACATACAGCCAAGGCAGTTTCATGCCACATATGTCTGCAGTAATGTGAGCAAGGACAGACTGTTCCATCACTGGCATATTGTTCAGATTCCAGCCACTATCAAGATATTCCTAAAAATAAGACAAAAGAGGATGAAGTTTCCAGCTGTAGCATGCTAGCAACTTTAGAATTCTGTTTCTAAAAGCTGTATGAAAATAGTCTGCTTCAAAATAGCAATGCCAGGTGAGGAGTGGAAGTTAAGAGGCTGACTTCTAACAAAAAAGACAGAAAAAAAAAAAAAAAAAGAGGCTGACTTCTAGGATGTATAAAAGGAAGGATCTGTTTAGCTGTTGTTTGAGACAGGCTTTATGAGTGCAAAGAGTGTATACTTTTATGAGGGAGTGAAACAAGGTCTCACTATGTTGCCCAGGATTCCCTGGAACTTGCTATATAGCTTCCAAATCATGATCTTCCTGCCTTAGCCACCTGAGTGATGGCATGGAAGGCACATGTCATCATGCCTGGCTCAGTATATGCTTTTATTTCTGTTAATTTTATGGATCTGGAGGAACATAAACTATATGAGCCTATCTATATAAAGTACAAAATTAGGCAAACTAATCCATGACCTCAGAAGTCAGGATAGTGGCTATCCTGCAGGGTTAGCACTGTCCTGAGAGAAAGCTGCTGGGCATGGTTATCACACATTTACACATCTGTAATCCCAGCACTCGGGATGCTTATGCAGGAGGACTGCTATGAGTTTGAGGCTATACTACGTAAGCAAGAATCTGTCTTATTAAAAAAAAAAAAAGGCTGGGGGTATAGCTGAGCAGCAAGATAACTGCCTGGCAAGCATGAGGCCTAAGCTAGATTCCCGGTTCTTCCCCACCAACTCCCCCCCCCCCCAAAAATTTTTTTTCAGAGAAAAAGCAAGCTGGGTATGGTGGCATGAGTACAGCACTTGGAAGGCTGAGGCAGAAAGATCACTGCAAATTCAAGGCTGTGGGGGGTGAGGGGAAGGGAAAACAAAGGAGAAAGAGAAGCAAAGTCAGGCATGGTAGTGTAACCAGTAATCCCAGCATTTGCGAGAAGGAGACAGAAAGATCACTGTGAGCAAAAGGCCAGCGTGGCCTACAAAAAGAGGGGAAGAGCTGGTAAAAAGAGAAAGGAGGGGAGGGGAGAGGAAGAGCGGGGAAGACGGGGGTGGGGAGGGGAGGATAGGATAGGTCTTTCATCAATGAGAAGAGGATCAAGAAAGAGGGAAGGGAAGGGAGGGTAAGGGGATGAAAAAAGAAATTAGGATGTGTTAAGCATATGTACCAACTTCACACAAGGAATGTAAGCACTAGGAACTTCAAACACGTACTAGTAAAATATTTTTTAAAAAGATAAACAGGTATGGCTTTAACCCCTCTGAATGTAGTGGCAGTTGGCAATAGTACTGTCATTCAACTTTTCTTGAAATCACTGAAAATCTGGTAAGTAAAGATCTGTTGAAAGTAATTGTAAATTACATCAAGCTTACCAAACACAATTGCAATAACTGAATTTCCAACACACTTACATGGGCTTTTATATTTAACAGGAAGATAAGTTTTTTTTGATGCCTTTGAAAAGTTTTGTAATAGGATCCACTATGTAACCCAGGATGGCCTTGAAATAACTTAGGATCTTTCTGCTTTTGCCTCCGGAGAGCTAAAGTTCTGCCATACTCACAAAGCTACTACTAATCAGGTATTATAGCCTTTAGATCAAGGGATGTAGAATACAGCTTTAAATACAGGGCTCCCCCACAAACTAAAAGTGCCCCACAGCTTGGGTGTACCTCTTCTTCAGGCGACAGTTTGATTTTTCCATCTCGAACAGGAAAGCCACTGCCAAATTCTTTTGAAGCAATATCAGCTCCATATTCCACTGTGACATCTTCTTCAATAGTGCTTACCAGTCGCCAAAATTCTTTCTCAACCAGCTCGGTGGGAACCATCTGGAAATATAATGAAGAAGCGGGGGAAATGAGTTTTTTTCAGTCACTCACATAAACTGCCTGTAACCAATCTGATTTGGTAAGGAAGAAAGGAATTACAGAGCAGCCTTCTAAAGAAAAGTTCTGTCTGTAATGGTCAATAATTGATCCCAGACAATTCTTCATTTCAAAGAATTTTACTATCAGCAAATCAAAACAAACAAAGACTAACTATAAAGAACTAAGAAACCTCCCAGGTATGGTGGTATATGCCTATAATCCCAGCACTTGAGACAGCAGGAGTAACATTGTGAGTTCAACCACAGCCTTAGCTACGTAGTGAGCTCAAGGCTAGCCTGAACTACACTGAAAGACCCTGTCTCAAAACATAAAGCAACAACAAAGAATTACGAATTCATGTTCTTCTATCATGACCCTGGCCACAATTGCAAAAGGGAACAAGAAAATAAAATGTTGGTATTTACAAATGGAAATGTCTGAGAAATGCAGTATACAACTTGGTTGGCCAACTGTGTAGTAATAATGGTTAGCTGTGCTGAATGATACTTTCGAACACACTATCTGAATCTATTCTTTTATTCTTTCCACTAGACCCAGCTGTGCATAATGCAGACAAACATAATGAAAAAGACAGGATGCGGGACCTGAATACAAAGTGCAGTTACTCTGCAGCAGCATGTTTTAGAATAAAGAACCAACAGACTGTCAAAGACCTACTGTTAATCTGCAGTAACTTAAATATGTATAAACCAATGTGGTCATCTTTTTAAACAAAAAAGACAACCAAAGACAAGGTGATATGGTTAAGAATATGTACAGGGAAATACTATGATGCACAAGTCGAAAAAACTAAAAATTAAACGGAGTATAAATCTAAGCTCATTAGCAGGTAAATATTTTTATGTAACAGGAAATGTTAGTCCTGTTACAGAAAACAGGTTTGCTAATATAATTTTGGAGGTTCTATAAGTTGGTGCAGCTACTGGAGTGGGATAAGGGACAAACATATTCATCTGACCTTACTCAAGAAGATGATGCATTTGTTGCAGCATTAGTACTAAAGAAAACCAGAACTTAAATATCCAGAATTACTGTAGGAAACCATTTAATTTTGATGTACTTAATGAAATATTAAATGCTGAATCATATTTATGCTTCTAAGTAACTAACAGAGAATTAAAAATATCCTGAAGTTTACAATGCTAATTTAGGATTACATAACAATTTAGGATTTCATAACAATATGAATGTGTTCCCAAGGCATAGCACACTGCCTAGCATGTAACAGTCACTCAATTTTGTGAGCCCAGTATGGTGGCAAATGCCTATAATAAAAGTGCTTGGGAAAAAAAAAAGGTGCTTGGGAGGCTGAGGTAGGAGGATCACGGTGAAGTCAAGGACAATCTGAACTACATGCAAGACCCAGCCTCAAAACACCAAAATAAAAAAATAAATTTTGTGACACTTTCTTTAAATTGCATATACTGTGTTGAAAGGACTGAAAGGTAATTTTTGTCTTTTTCATTTTTATCGGTACCGGGGATCGAACTCACAACCACCTGCTTGCAAGGCAGGTGGCTTATGCTGCTGAGCTAAATCCCCAGCCCCAAGGTAATTTTTAATATTATTGGTCTTATATTACTGTTGTGTGCAATTTGTGTAAAAGAGGTACCTCTAGTGAAATCCTTGAATGAAAAAATCAGAACACCATTTTAAAGTACAGTACACCATTTTAATAGCACCACAGTTTCAGTGTACGTAATGGCTATCAGTGTGAGGCTCAACTCAAATCTATCTTCAGGTAAATATTTCTCTATATGTACATACATGGACTGGCATGTTGAAGTAATCAGACTTGAACGCATCTGCCATTTCTCCAAAAGTACGAAGGGTATAGTCCCTGGCTGCTTGTTCAAAGCCAAATGCTTCTTGTGGTTTACTACATTCCTGCAAACGAAAAACAAAAGCCCAAATTATTATGTTTTAAGGTCACTTGAAATTATTTCTGAGTAATAAATCTATAGGTTTCACAGCGGGGAAAAAAAGCTATGTTCTACATTAGAGGGGGAAAAATTGCCTAAAAAGAGTAAGGTTGTTTTACTGAGCAAATGAAATAATGTTATTTACTTGCTACTGAGCAAATGAAATATCTATTTTAACAGCCATAGCAGAGTGCTATAATTTAAAAATTTATAAAGAGACAGTCTAAAGCTTCAACTTCTTTCAGGATCAAATAAAGCTTTGTAATGAAAATAAAGAGAAAAATGATGTACTTCTGAACACTAAATCTATAAAATAGACCAAATGGACACAAAACACCTGACGGAACAGAATGGCTCTCATTCTAGCAAAACTTGATTATAACCTAATGCCACCATGAACAGAATACTGTAGGATTGATGGGGACACTTCATCACACTGAACCAATGGATTTGAATACCCAGACCCACAGTTACTCTCATTACAGGTATTAAATATTTAATTCAACTAACACTCATGGCCCCTTTGCCCTGTCCCCTGTCTAATAAACTCTCATTAAGAGGGGTACTCCTATGGAGAAGCACTGAAACATTTTCATCCAATATAAACTTCTTTACCTATTATAATACTTTTTTGAGACAGGATCTCACTACATAGTTTCATGCTGGCCTTGAACTCACTACATAGCCTAGGCTGGCCTTGAACTGGTGGCAATCCTCCTGCCTCAGCCTCCAAGTGCTGGAATTATAGGTATGTACCACTACTCACAGCCTCTACCATTATAACTGAAGCAAAACACAAACATGCTATTCTGTTTCAACCACAAAATAATACACACTAACATCTTCAGACTCTATATCAGTAAGCACAGTGCTGTATGAAAATAAACTCAAAAACTAGACAATTAAAATTACATAAGGCAATTCAATTTCTAGAAAAAAGTAGACAAAGATGATTTATTAACTATACATTATGAAATCGTATCTCTATTTTAAATTATTCAGTGTTTAAGAATTCTTGCAAAGAGTATTTTTCCAATGAAATTTTAAAAAATAGTGTAAGTATTAAATATTTTTTTCTGCCTCTCACCTACCACCTTCTAAGACCCCTTTCTTACTCATATCTAGCCCTATTTTGCTCATTGGCTTCACTGTTATCCACTGCCAAATCTAAAACTCCAGACGAAGAAAAATACTTTGAAGGAATTTATCTGATGCTACTGACCTGTGTCATTAACTCTTACCTGAGCCAAACACTTAGGACACCTCCAGTCTCCCTTAGGTACATCATGGAGCGGCGGGATTAAGCAAAAGGTATGGTAACTGTCATCACAGCCATCACACAAGAGAAGCCGGTCCTCATCATTGCCACTGCCACATAGGAGACAGACATACAGGTCCACCTGCAGCAATGAAAATGCATACAAAACAAAAAGCAATGTGAGTTCTTTCTTGATACTGTAAAATTCTAAGAAAGAAATAGGTCTAAAACAGTCTAGTCTCTCTGCTGCTTCAAACAGTGCACCTTTTATAAGGAGTATCACAACAGTGCACACATCTCTGACTCTATGTGTGTTCTTCCTCAACTGTAGGTGTTACATGTTCAAACGCTGCCAGGAGACGCTGAATTACTGGTGGTACCTTCATGACTGTCTCTCAGGACAGTCCTATCACGTGGTATAAGCTGCCCAACGGGACAGTCATGGATTTACTCCTGGTGGTTAAGCCAGGCAAACATGTCAAGACAGTTTTTGGTAGTTTAAAGATAGGCTTCTACAAGAATAAGGTGTTAGGTGATGAATTATCAGTCTAACTAAAAGCAAAATTTAGGAAAGTAAAATTCAACTTTGCCAAATATAAAAGGAAAGAATTTGTTGAACGATAATTGCAAACTATTAGGCTTCCACTTTGAATTCTAAATAAGGGGTCATGGCTGAGTAATTTCCGAAATACCCAATGACAAAGCATGGTTATTTACCTGATATGGGCTGAACTATGTATTTCCCTAAAATTTTGAAGTTCTAACCCTCTGTACCTCAGAATGTGACTGTATCTGTAGATAGGGCCTTTAAAGAAATAATTAAGGTAAAATAGATCATTAGAGTAGCCCAATTCCACTATCATGGGTGTCCTTATAAAAAGCAATTAGGGGGCTGGGGATTTAGCTCAGTGGCATAAGCGCCTGCCTTGCAAGCAGGCAGTCGTGAGTTCGATCCTTGGTACCGATAAAAAGGAAAAAGACCAAAAAAAAAAAAAAGAAAAAGCGATTAGGACATAGATGTGAACAGAATAAAAACTACGCAGAAACATGGAGAAGACAGCATCTACAGTCAAGGATAAAGAAGCCAGCCTTAGAAACGACCTTGACAAAGAGAAGCAGCGGAAGAAGTGGAAGAGGAAGAAGGAGGAGGGAGGGAGGAAGGAATCTTCCCAACACCTTCATCTCAAAATTCCCAGCCCATAGAACTGCAAAGAAATTTCTGTTATTCAAGCCAATCAATCTGCTGTACTTTCTTATGCAATCCCCAGCAAGTTAACATGTTACCCAACAAAAAGCTGAAAATTCAGCAGACAGGGAGTTGCATCTTTTCAATCTATTTATTGTAGGAATTAAAAATCTGTACTGTGCCAATATTCTGACTCTATCTGTGCATGAGTGTATGTGGTAGGAGAGAGGCAGAGATGATATTAGTAAAAGAATACATCAATTAGAATTACTTTTAATTCCAGGGGGCACAAAGAGAGGGCGGGGGTGGGAGTAACAGGACTAAGATGTGTTATGTCCATGCACCACAATGAATGAAATCATTATGTACTAATTTTTAAAAAATCCAAGCCAAAACAAAACCAAACCAACCTTGAATTCCAAGGTAAAACGCTCTCAGCAGAGACAGACAAAGATGGGCTCTCAGTCCCTTTCTAGTGCCCTCAAGCTTTATCATCATCAAAGTTTCCAACACAGTGACCAGCTCCCCAACTCTGCCACACCCTCAGAACTAATGCCTACCTCCTTTTCTTTCCCTCCTCCCTTTTCCATCCTGTTCCTTCAATTTCCTTTCCTGTGCTATATAGTTGAAAAATACCAACTGTGTTGGGTTTTTTTTTTTCCTTTTTATTTTTTTTTTTCTGGAGACAAGTCTTAGCATGTAATTCAGAACACACTAAGTTATCCCAGTCTGGCCTCAAACTCACAGCAATCCTCCTGCCTCAGCCTCCCAAATGCTAGGTTTAAAGCCATATGCCTCCATGCCTTGCCTGTGTTGGTTCTTGATCTAGCTCAGGTTGGCTGGTGATTTCTGAACAATTCTGTGCATGACACTCATCACTATTCTTTGCCAAACTGTACTCCAGAAACTAAGACATCAGTGTCCCCCGCCCAGGTGTTACTACCATCTTCATAATGTAGTCACACATTTCCTTCTCTATCAACTGACTTGTAAAGATTATTTTTTATTGTTTGCAGACACTTAAGTTAACTAGTCCTTGGTAAGGCATCAAAACTTGGGGTCAAAGAAGTTGAAAGAAAGGAATGGAAGGAGCAAAAAGGAAATGGGGAAAAGGAAAAAGAAAGATGTCAACTCACAGCATTGGTGGTTTTTTTAGATCGACTCTTCGGTTTTTCCTTCTCACTTTCTACAATATAATCTTTCTTCTCAAGGGGTTCTTGTTTGATGTTACTTTTCATTTCTTTCTCTGCAAGAGGCAATCCAAAGTCAGCTCATTCAAAGGGCTTTCCTTTGCTTCTTCCTTCATCTCATCACTTCCCTTCCAAAGCACACTGTATACAAACTTAGTTTCACACCTGTCTTCATCTTAGTAGTAGCAGCACCCAGTATAACTATATCCAAGAACTGTTTTATGATAAAATGCGTCTCACTTCGATTAAATTTCAAGAGATGGGTATGCACATGTTGCCCAGGTTTATACGCCTTCAGAACAAGAGCTAACATAGTTTTCCTAAGACCAAGACACAGCATATACTGATGGAATCATGATAATGACTGAAAGTCTAACAATAGTTCATGAATTGGACCTCTCTACAAATTTTAATCCAAGATTTAAAGTGATTTCCTGGTCAACTTCCTGCTCTCCAACTTCCTGATCCCAGAGACTGACAATCTGGCTAAAACTGTTTAAAATTTTGGTTATAAACTACAATGCCATATAGCAAATGTGTCTATAAATTATTTAACTCTTCATAATAAACCCCATTTAGGGGCTGGGGATTTAGCTCAGTGGCATGAGCGCCTGCCTTACAAGCAGGCAGTCGTGAGTTCGATCCCTGGTACCGATAAAAAAAAAATGATAACCCCATTTCAAATATTTTAAAAACTGCTGTTAAAAGACAATAATAATGAATAATCATCATGTACTGCAAACATACTAATAAGTTTTTTTTAAAAATTTCTAAGGTCATATAACTAATTAACAGTTGAACCAGGATTCGGATTTATATGCATTATTACTTCCCACTACACTGTACTGCCTTTCCATTAACTCACTAATCTTTGTGCTGATTTCAATGATTTCTTCATTTGCATGTGCCTCCTATTTAGCACATAAGATTTCTCCTAGAAGAATCCCAAATCTACCTATTAGTGACCTACTAAAATCTTTATCTGCCTTGCCTGAATCAAATCTAGGAGACAGTCCAAGGTACCTACACGTTTTTGCAATGAATACATTATACTAAAATTTCAAAGAAGTAACTGAATCCATTTGAGAAATTCTCATATATTTTGTACTGGGGATCCAAATCAGGACCTTCCACCTGCCAGGTGGGCATTTATGCTGCTGACCTATATCCCAGACCTAACCTATATTCTTAGTAAGCATATATTATGAGAATACCGACATTGATATATAAGATGAAAACCCAACTCAGTAAGTACTACACAATAATTACTCTATTTAACAAATAGTTACTTTTACTTCTTTACTTTTTCTTTCTTATTCAGGGATGAATTCTCTTACCATTTTCACATTTGAGAGTTGGACAACCCATTCGACGTCTTAGATTATGCGTTCTAGCTTCTGTAGTCTCTTCTGGTTCCACTTTAATATTCATAGTCTAAAAAAATTGTCATATACATGAATGCTTCCCATAACTAGAAAGAAGTATTCATTTAACACACATATCCCATCATTCTCCACTTTCTGGAACAGTTCTGGAAGTACTTTTTCATGGGTTATCTCTACAAGGTTTAATCAAACATACGGTGAATTCTGCTGCTGGGTATCATCTAACAATAGAAAAGCAGACTTGCAAAAACATAGTGTATTCTCATTAACCTTATTAACTAGAACTGACACCCTGTGACTTCTGGTTCCTCCCCCAAAGTCAAAATGATCATGAAAGGTACAAGCTCTGAATGGATTCAGGATATCTAGACAGAACAATGCAACTAGAGACAAGCAAGAAGAGGACTCTCAGAACTATAGATATTCCTTGTTTCAACGACCTACTTATTTATTAACAACTGTTCAGACTTAAAACCAAGGCATTCTTTATGACCCATCCTTTAGACTTATGAACTATCCTTTTTTGTACATTTATGTTATATGTAATGTATTTATGTTATTGAGGCTCTTATTTACAGAGCCTCAATTTGGGGGGGGGGGTACAAATAGGCTGGGTGTGCTGGTGCATATCTGTAATCCCAGCACTCAGGAGGCTGAGGCAGGAGGACTGCTGTGAGTTTGAGGCCAGCCTGGACTACACAGAGTATAACAGCAGCCTGAATTTCTTAGCAAGACCCTGTCTCAAAACAAACAAAAACAACAAAATCACTGTGCTTTTTGATTGCACCTCATAGGTTGAAAAATAGGGGGAAAAATCAAGAATCAGGAACAACTTACAAGAATTATTACCCAAAACAAGAACTATCCTTTCACTTAGAAGCTTCTCAGTTCTCATCTATTCCTCATCCTTTATTCAATTCTCATTAGGCTAAATCCCAAGCAGTTATTCAAATAAATACTTATACTTCTAAGCACCTCTAAACTTAAAAATTTCTTCCTCATTGAGGCTATATAAACCTGTCTCAGTTTTTACTATTATTTCTTAAAGTGCTGGTATATATTGGAAAACCAGATAATACCATTTTTGTGCTAACACTGACATATTGTTCTGTGTTCATTCATGAATACATTAAGATTTCCATAGCTAACCAAATTTCTTCCATGAGTATTATCATTATCACTGAAAATCATCAAGGCAGACCTAGGCATTCACAGAATTAGGGCATGCATTTCATATACATTTAAAGGTCAAGAAATAAGTTCAAGAAGAAACAATTCTTGTACTAATGACCCTTAATTTTAAACATGCTTATATACTTAAATAACCATATTTCCCTATTCTGGGTAGTTTCCTTAATTCAGAAAAATGGGGTCATGAAATTTTTTTGTACTTCCAACTTATTAAAATAAAAATTTTTAATTTTTTAGAAAATAAAACAGCTAATTTTTCATTTTTATCAATTAAATAGTCAGAAATTAAATATATGATTACTGCAAAATGATGTGTTCCAGCTCTGTAATATTAACTATGTACTATTCGTGAATCCTAAAACTATATAACTAATCCATCAGGCTAGAAAGAATCCATTCTCTTCCCATATCTGTATAGTAACAAAATAACTGGGAAAATACTCTCACTTGCCCTGGAAAAACCTCTGAGCAGAAAAATCTTTTTTTTTTTTTTTTTTTTTTTTTTGGCAGTACCAGGGATTGAAATCAGGACCTTGCACTTGCCAGGCAGGCGCTTATGCCGCTGAGCTAAATCCCCGGCCCTGAGCAGAAAAATCTTAAAACCAATAATCTTTGTTATAATCAATCTTGCAGTCCTTCTGATTTTCCTCATGTCATTTTTATTTCATCTTATTTAATGCTACTACATGCTTCCCAATTTTTCTCTTAGCATAATTATGTTAGTGATTCCATACTCCTTTTTATTAAGTCAGAGAAAAATAGCTTTCACTGTATTTTAACACCTCTATTAAAAACTCTTATGGCCAAGGACATAGCTCAGCACAAAGCACCCGCCTATTAGTACAACTTCCTGAGTTCAACTGCCCATACCATAAAAATAAATAACTTCATATATCCCTCCTGTAATGGCCAATGAACATCAACTAATTTTGTGAGGCTTATAGGCAATCCAAATAAGAACACCACAGCACCAATTCTTTCTGATATTTTGACCATAACAACAATGCAGTAGTGTATCACAGCAGCATGAACCCAGAAAGACTTCTTCAATTCCTTATCCCTTTGCTGGTATGGTTCCCCACCATGCCTACCCAAAGTGTAACAGCTGGAATACACCAGGCATCCCTTTGTGAAATAAACAAGGTCCAAATCTACAAAGAGTATGTGTATGTGAGGCAGCTAGTATGACAGCCACTTGGCACTAGAGCTCCACAATGCCTTTTTGCCACCTCGAGACTCTCACCTCCGCTCTCATACGTTTTGCTCGCCGGGCAGGGGGACACGTTTCTGAGGGCTGCACAGACTGCCTCTGTGGAATATCGTGGGGTTTGTATTCTTTGTCCTTGGTGTCTGTGGTCAGGTTGGGCTTCTGTAGACACTAGAAATAAAACACAATTATACTGATAAATCTCTTTTTTTTTTCTTGGTATTGGGAATTGAACTCAGGACCACTTGTACTTTTCATGCAGGTGCTCATGTTGCTGAGCTATATCCCCAGTTCCACATTTCCCTTCTTAATCTTTGAATGTTTTGCTTGGTTTTACAGAGTATATCTTACAGTTTACATATATAACAGGTCTGCTTCTTCTAAATTTAAACACAAGGCCAGAAATCTAGCTCAGCAGCACAGCACCTGCTTGGCAAGCACAAGGTTGTGAGTTCAATACCTAGTACCAAAAAAAAAAAAGTGCTAGAAATATAAATACAAAGACAAGTTTATAATACAAGCAAGCACATACACATATATAAAAGAGGTATAGCCACTTAAATTTTTTTTCTTTTTTTTGTTTTTTTGAGACAAGGTTTTACTATATAGTTCAGACTGGCCTTAACCTCCTTATGTAGCACATGCTGGCCTTGAACTTTCCTGCCTTCTGAGCACTGCGATTACAGGCATGTGCTACCACACCTGACCAAAAATGTCTTCTAACAGATGAATGGTAGTTCTTAAATTTATTTTATCACTGATCTCATCAGGTTACAAGAAGCCACAGCAGGTTCAAGGCACTCTCAATGAGACACTTGTTAGTTATTACCTGTGGTTGCAACAGTCAACTAACTGAAGATCCAAACTATTAGAAAGGGCCCTTAAAAGTATCAAAAATAATTTTCTATATTAAGGACATTTCATATTTTTAAAAAGTGAAGTAAAAAAGAGAATCCAACATGTTTTCTAGGTCTCACAATTCTCTAGTTTCACACGTAACTAGCAGAGTTATTACCAAATACATCACCTGAACTGAGAAAATAATCATTTTACCGAAGTATCCTTCCTTACTAGGGTTTCCATCTACTTCAGCTTATTTTTACAAAGTCTAACTCACAAGGCACCGATTATAGATAGTCCACAGCAATAACTAGTTCAACCAACTGCCTCTATTTCCTTTATTTTTTCTTTTTAATTCTAAGCTGATTGAAAGATGATATTTAATGTCAATACAATATAACAACAAAATATTAATTTCAAGTAAGTACGTCTCTTTCCTAAGAGGATCCACAAACATTCATTTTTTTAAAAGCAAGTTCCACAATGTAACCATCTGGTGTGTGCTGTATAACTCTTACTTGGCATTAGCTATACATAAATAATAAACAAGCACTATCACTACTTTATAACAGCCATTATTAGATTGCAGAGAAACAATTTAACAGTTTAAACAATCTAAGTGTCCAATACCTGAATGGTTAAATAAAATGTGGTATTTATATTGAAGCCAGTACTACTCTGCCATCAAGGATAAATGTTATTCATTTTAGGAAAATAGATCCATCCTTATTTCCCATTAGTCTTAATGGTTACATATCAATGGTCAGCTTGGTTCTGCAGAGACTTTAAAGATCTAAAGTAAAATCAAGCTCAGCAGCTTTTTAGATTATTTATTATTTTTATGATTTTGTTCCAAGCCATAACTCAAAATACATACCAACATGTTGGTTTTATAGCTAATGCCATCACATGCAGCTAATTTTAACCTTCACTTAAGAAACTGAGATTTAGGCAGGGCATGGTGGTACAATCCTGTAATCCCAGCACTTGGGAGGCTGAGGTAGGAGGATTGTTGCAAATTCGAGACCAGCCTGGGCTACAAAGTGAGCCTAAGGCCAGCCTGAACTACACAGAAAGACCTTGTCTCAAAAAGACACACACACACACACACACACACACACACAGATTTAGAGGTGATTAATGTCATTGCATCATAATCACATCATCCCAAAGACAGAAATCCCTTAAGACATTCAGAAAACATAGTGATTCAAGAATGAGGCCTATTCAACTTTTCTCGAGTTTCCAAAATTTAACTTAGTCTCTAGTTCAACACCTTCGCAACAATTACTTCACTGTGAACCATTCTCTTTTTCTTCCCCTAATTACATGTTTCCAAAACCACTAATTTAATAAAAACTTGGGGGGGTGGGTAAAGGGATATGAATGTAGCTTAAAGCCCAGGATTCGATACCCAATACTGCAAAAAGAACAAGGGGGAAAAAAAAAGGAAAGAAATGCCAGCATTAGAAATCATGTTTTCAAAATCCTTCAATGATAGAGCATATATTCATATTTTGATACCAAAAACAAAAACAAGCAAACATAAAAACCCACAGGACACAATGCCATATATGAAGAATACTCTGCAATTCGTACATACATATATAAAAATAGTTTTACAAGATAACAGATATGAGAATTACGATCATGGAAATTTCATGATTTCTTGTATTTCTATTAAACTTTCTGCAGTGAATATCCATCAGTTCCTAGAATACGCTTGGCACATAGTAGATTCCTCAACAAATTCTTAACTGTTATATATGCAATGTTTGTAAAGGGTACCTTTAAAATACCTGTTGCTTTCAGGCTCTTTGCTGTATAAACACTTCACTGTTTTTCAACTATGATACTACACTGCCTATTATAAGGATAGAGACAATGTATTTGTAAAATGTTCATCTCATATAGCAGATAACACTGTTTCCCCTTATCCACTGTAACTACCACACTTGGAAGAGCACAAGAGAGGGCCTGGGGATTTAGCTCAGCGGCTCAAGTGCCTGCCTTGCAAGAGTGTGGCCATGAATTCAATCCTTGGTACTGATAAAAAAGAAAAAGACCAAAAAAAAAGAGCTCAAGACAAAACTTAATCTATATGAAGAAGCATCTAGATCTGAATTAAAACAGGAATAAAGATGTCACATTTATTATTTGAAACAGTGTCACCCATGGGCTCCCTAACCATTCATATAATATATAATTTTTTAAAAAAAGAAAAACAACTTTTTGAATATCCCATTGGTCATCTTCTTCTAGATGAAGTCCTGACCAGGACTCAAGAAAGAAAAAAGGGAAGAAAATCAGAATGGTATTAAAATCTACAGAATTTAAGCATTATAGACAGTATGGGTCTATAACAGGACAAGGGTTTTCTCTTGTTTTATTTTTGAGACAGGGTCTTGCTATGTAAATTGGACTGGCCTTTTACTCATGTGCCCTCAAACTCATAGCAGTCCTCCTGCCTCAGCCTCCCAAGGGACAACATGCCTGGCAGGACAAGGGTTTGATTACTGGTTTGCCCTTAGAAACTGTGTTGCTGGGCACGAAAGCCAGCCTGAACTATATAATGAGACCCCATTTCAAAAAACCAGTAAGTAAACTAAAGCAAAACAAAACAAAATAGAAACTCTTATCTTCTTTCCAAAGCACAGAAACAATTCTTAAAAACTATAGAGTTGCTGTTCTATTATACAGTAACTCAATGTAAATAGATTAGGACACTCCTTTCTATAAGGGTTTTGAAATAAATGAGAAACTTTTATAACATAATTCTGCCTCAAGAAGATAAAAGTTTTTAGCCAAATAATATCATGAATACCACTTTTTATGGAAACAAATATAGCTAGATAGGAATGGTTAGAAGAGGAACCCATTAGCTATGCAGCATTATTAAGTCCCCTACCCTTCTCAAATATTACCATTCATGTGACAATCAGGAGACCCTTAAACAGCAAGTCCTTTAAAAACACAAAAGCATAGTGCATAACAAGTACATAGTAACTCCTTGTTGTAAAGAAACACCTATAGTTCAAGTAAATACAGATTTCAGCTTCTGACAAAAAAATGACAGGCTACAATCTTATTCTTTCAAAAACCAAAACTTCTAAGTATGAGTGCTCTTAAAAAATAGGACAAAAGCAATGGAGAATATATCCACAAAACATGGTCTTGCTAAATAATGTCTTTCAAACATAATCAAGATCTTTTCATTGCCCCTGAAAGAAACAACAAGCAGGTTGTCAAGTAAGGCACGTTATGGCTAGCACCAAAACTTACCCTCAAACTGTCTCCAGACAGAAATAAATTGTAAGGGTTGAGGATTCGTTCGTAATGCCCTCTGATATGTGAGCCCACAGCTTTGCCGGGAGCAAACCCCATCTTTGTGGCAATTTTGGTCCATTTTCTATCCTTGCAAACAACTGCAAATCCACCTTCTTCTGCAACTAACTGTTAAAATAGCAAAAGAAATTAGAAATGCTTACACAAAAACCACTACTAATTCCCTCAATATCTAGGTATGACTTCAAGAATGAAATGCTCCTCATTATGGTTATCTTTTAAAAGTACATTTCCTGAGACTTCCGGGAGAACATGGACAGATAGCAGCAGCTTTGGAGGCTCTCTGAGATACCCCTCTTAAGAGTCCAGGAATGGTGTGGTGCAAGGAGTCCTAAGCAGAGGGAGATGTACCCTGCCAACCCAGGAATGAACTAAGCTAAGAGAAACCAACTGGCAATCCCGGTGCTATAACATGAACAGATAATGTCTCAGTGCAGAAGCTGGAGCCCGTGCCACTGGAAGCCACAATTTCAATTTCCTGCTGCCACTGCTGCATCTGAATCAACACAGCAGGGAGAGAGATGTGGGAAAATTCTGAGAGTGGGAACTGGCGAACGGAGTTGGGAGCAGGACTGGCAGGGAGCCCTGCATCGACCTGAGGAGAGTGAGCAGAACGGGGACCCTTCCATAAAGTAGGAGGCTTCAGCAAAGGACATACTGGGACCAGGCAGACATGCCGGAACAGGACGCTGCAGTCCCATATTCCCCTCTCAAGCAGGATTGGTGGGAAAGTGCCTGGCCCGGTGAGGCCGCTGACTAAGACCCAGTAAGCTAGCCCAAACCAGGTCCCAGCGCCTGGAGGTGCACCCTAGCAATGAAGCCTTCGGTAGGTTGACCTGGAGGGGCAGGCCCAGCAGAGGCTGCCCAGGTCTGTGTCTACCTACTACACTGCAGTGGGCGGGAACACCTAGCGGGTACAATTCAAACAAACTGTAACAGACAAAGAGGAAAAAAAAAACTGGGCCTCCTATACTCGCTTATATGGAGAACAAAAAGTATGGGAAGAGGGAGCAACAAGAAAGAGTCCTCAGTCCCCAATCCTGAGAACACGGATCCAGGAAAGCTGAATGCAAAGGAGAATGAGGACAGAAAACATGCAATATCAGACACGGCACCAACAGACATAAAGCGGTATCTCCGGAGCCTCACAGATGAGTTCAAAAGTGAAGTATTTAACAAAATAAAGCAAGATATAAGTAGAATAGTTAGAGAAATGCTAAGCACCGCCCAAGAAAAAAACAGATGGTGGAATGGAAGAACAGAAAAAAAGGGGAGAATTGTTTGATGGAGAAAATACAGAAAACATAGAATATGTGAAGCAGGTTCAAAGGGATTACCAGGAAACTAAAAACTCTATTGAAAGCTGGCATAACAGCTTGAAAGAAACTAAGGATAGATTATCTGAACTGGAGGACAGATTTGTAATGCGGGAGCATGAAATGAAAAACTTCTTTAAAATAACAAGGAAACAAACAGCAACAATACAAAGGCTAGAAGATGATAAGAGGATCTATAACTTAAGAATGTAAAAGAAGAAGTAGGGACACAAACAAATGAACTACAAAAGCTATTCACAGAAATAATCCAGGAGAATTTCCCTAATTTAGCAAAAGGTAAAGATACTTAGATGTATGAGGCATACAGGACCCCAGCCACCTACAACCCAAACAGAGCTACACCCAGGCATATAATAATCAAAATTCCAGAAATCCAATATAAGAACAGAATATTAAAAGCTGTCAGAGACAAGAAACACATCACTTACAAGGGAACACCCATCAGAATTACAGCAGACTTCTCGGCACAAACCATCAAATCATGAAGAGCTTGGGGGGAAATAATTCAAGCTTTGAAAGATAATAACCTCCAGCCAAGATTGATATATCCTGCACAACTGTCCCTAGAAATTGATGGAAAAACAAGGTGCTTCCAGGATAAAGAGGAACTAGGGGAATTTGCAACCACCACTTCAACTCTACAGAGAATACTGCAGGATATTCTAAAAAAAGGAAAATACCAAGATCCCAGAAACTGGCAGAGAGGCCACAATGAATGGAGCAGAAAGTGAAATGAAGAAGACAAACTGACAACAAGTAACAGAAAAAGAGCTCAATAGAAATGAGGCAGAGAAGACTGGATGGTAAGAACAGCTATTTTGGAGAAAACAAGACATCATAATAGCTAGTGCTGATTTAATATCATCTTGTTTTGAAGTCCCATCAAGCTTTTATTCTTCTGTCTCCATCGGTCTTAACATGTTGTATCTTTTTGGATTTTATTATATGTGATAATATAAGCAAACCTTTTATAGACAAGGAGATTATACAAAAACCATTGTTCATTTTCTGATAGTTGGTTCTAAACACCCTGTTATACTGTCATTCCCTTGAATGGTTTTACATTGTCTTGATATGTTTGATGCTACAGTATACGAAGTTATACTCAAAGATTTCAAGGAAAGAGACACTATGGTAACTACTTTTATGTCGGGATTATCTTGTGGTAAAACACTATTTTGCTTAAATGGTTATGTTTTGACCTGCACTGTCTTGTTGTTATGCCCTCTTTTATCTCAATCTCCTTTTTTTATTATTTACTTTTTTATTTTTATCCTTTTAATTAAAGGAAAAAATAGCAGGATATATTATAATAACCCACTTTAATTTCCTATTAACTTGATTTGAAATCCTGTATTGCTCTCACCATCTTGTTTTGACTGATTTCCCCCTATTCTGCTTTGCTTGATAGTACCAACTTCGAAAGTATAGGCAACAACTGTGAAGACAATAAGATTCATTATGACGCCCATTCTGGTTGACTATTATCTTCTTTTAAAGTCCTGTAATGTCTCCAATGTTTTGGTTTTATTCTTTACTGTTTTGTTCAATTTTATTATAACTGATGATATAGGCAATTCTTTTTAAGATAGCAAGAGGCAGTATGGTAACCATTGTTGATCAGCTGGTATTTTGCTTTTACATTATGTATTATGTCCATCCTTTTGATTTGACTGACTCTGTTCTGTTATGTCACATTTGGTTTTACTCTCTTCAAAAAAAAAGTAATGGGGCTGGGGATTTAGCTCAGTGGCATAAGCACCTGCCTTGCAAGCAAGCATTCATGAGTTTGATCCCTGGTACCGATAAAAATGAAAAAAAAAAAAAAAGTAATAAGAACTGTGGGAGTAATAAAACCCAAAATGTGTAATTGTCATTGTACAAAAGAGAGGAAAAGAAAGTGCTTTAAAGGATATAACTGCATGTATATTTAAGTGTATAAGATAGATAACCATATTACTGAGTTTTGTTGTATCATTGAACAGAACTGTTTGCAATCTCACTGTTTGAAAGTCCACTTTATATGCTTTAATTTTGTAACTTGAACAACTATTTGTAAGATAACAATATGTAATCCATTAACTAGTGATTCCCTAGTGTTTATTCTTTCTGAAATTCTGTATAACTTGTACCCTTTCTGTTTTTTTTTCTTTTTCTCCTTAAATAAAATAAAATTTTTAAAAAAGTACATTTCCCAAGTCAAAAGACAAAATACATATATTATTAATTTTAAGGCAGAAAATTAAAACACCTCTTTTGACAGAATGGTATACAACTTTGTCCATCCAACTCTCTCTTGCATTCCCAAAGTTAAATAACTAGGTTAACAATTAGATGTCTACTATAAAAAAGATGCTAGCACTTGGTCTTTCTCTGTAACCCTTGAAATCTCCCCTAAAGATTTGGTAAAGAATGCAGGCTTCCAAAATTGATTGGAACCTAGAATTATGGGTCAGACTCTTTAGCCTGGTCTTTTTTTTTTTTTTTTTTTTAATCTTCCTAAGCCTCAGCTTCCTTATTTGTACTAAAGTTGAAAGGAACAGTTTGTAGAATTATCGTAAAATTTTAAAATGACAAAACAGGCAGCATCAAAATGTTCCACTTGAAACATGCAAAGAGGGCCCAACCCTAATCACCCCACTAAACTAAAACTTTCACTTTATAAATTTCAAATAACAAGTTTCTTTTTATAGCAAAGAAGATAAAATTCATTCTGTCAGCCTATGAAATGAGTAAGTAGTCATTACCACTGTACCTTGTTCAGCTGAAACAAGTCCAAGATCTTCCTCTCCACATGTGGAATTTTAAGAGTACTTCCTTGTAACTCCCAGTACTTTGCAATCTGATCCAGGAAATTCAATTTTACACGAGTTTGAGCCTAAATAACAAAGAAATAAATTCTGACTTCACGTAGGTTTTTTTTTCATTTGATAGTGTTTTGTAATTTCCCATACTGGCTTGAAACTCAAGGTTCAAGAGATTGTCCACCAGTAGCCTCTCCACAACTCAAAAGACTACAGGTGTGTACCACCATGCTAGGTACTCGCCCAGCTTATTTTAAAGCTCTTGCCTACTACCTGCCCAGGTGGTATTTTCACTCCTATATATGTAAAGTACAAAAGTTTTTTTTTTGTTGTGTTTTGAGACAGAGTCTCACTATTTAGTTTAGGCTGGCCTTGTATTCATCAATATATAGTTTAGGCTGGCCTCAAGCTCACAGCAATCCTCCTTTTTCAGCCTCCAGAGTAATTCCAGGATTACAGGCATAAGCCACCACAAGAGGCAAAAAAGCACTTTCTGAATTCAATCAAGAAACAGCCAAAAGTATATAGAGTAAAAGGTTAAATAATCATATGTTAGTTCAATAAAACTTTAATTCAACCCTTACTGGGGAGAAAAAAATACAAAAAGGATCAAGATGTATTATGTACATGCTCCAGTTCCCCATAAGGAATGTAAGCACCCATGTAACTAATGAAAAAATTTTTTGAATATTACCATGAATCAGGCATGGTGGCACATGCCTGTCATCCCAGCACTCAGGAGGCTGAGGCAAGAGGATCCTTGTAAATTCGAGATCAGCCGAAGTTACAAAAAACATTACCATGTACTAAGCATGCAATTAAACACATAATAAATCTTTGTGTAACATGAGTAGCCACTCTGAAAGATGCTTCGTTTAGGAGATATTGTAACTTGGCTACTTGGGAGGCTAAGGCAAGAGGATTCCAAGTTCTAAGTCGGCTTGAGCAAGTTACTGAGCTCTTATCTTAAAATAAAACAAAAATTCTAAAAGCACTGAGGCTGTACTTTAAAGTAAAAGCCCTAGAGTTCAATTCGCAGTACTAAAAAAACACGTGCGCGTGTGCAGAGGAGTTTGATCCTCTATTGTCCTACAGGAGGCAGAGACTGGAAGATTCCAAATTCAAGCCTCACCTGGGCAACTTAGTGACTTACAGGAGCCTGTTCCAAGATAAAAAATAAAAGCTGGCTATGGTGGTGCCCACCTACAATCTCAGTACTTGGGAGGCTGCAGTAGGCGTTCAAGGCCAGCCTGGGCTATATAGTAAGTTCAAGACCAACCAATATCTTATTACAAAGAAGATTTAAAAGAAAAAAAAAAAAAAAAAAAGGTTAGGGATGTAGATCAGTACAAAGGCCCTGGCATCAATCCCCAGTACCATAAAAAAAAATTTTTAACAGACAAATGGTAGTAGTGCCCTTGCTTATCATGTGGGGGTTCAATCTGTAGCACCACAAAAAAGGAGGTATTGGGGCTGGGGATTTAGCTCAGCGGCATAAGAACCTGCCTTGCAAGCAGGCGGTCGTGAGTTCGATCCCCGGTACCGATTAAAAAAAAAAGGAGGTATTATAAACAAAATTTCACGTCATTGATTAAAATTACATAACAAGTAAACCACATGCCCACAGCTAGGTCTTTTTATGACTCGATATTTTAAAGGTCTACTCCCTATAAATGGAAATTATCTTATTTGCTCAAACACAAGTATAAAAACATTTACAATAGTGATTCTACCATTGTAAGGGTGATAAGCTCTGATAATTCACAGACAGCAGAAAACAAGGACAACTTTGAAACCTGAAAATACATTGAAATTCTTAAAAACTGGGGCTGGAGGTTTAGCTCCGCGGCATAAGCGCCTGCCTTGGAAGCAGGCAGTCGTGAGTTCGATCCCCAGTACCGATAAAAACGAAAAAGACCAAAATTAAAAACTATGTACACTAGGGATGGGGATTTAGCTCAGTGGTACAGTGCCTGCCTGGCAAGTGTGAGGTTCTGAGTTTGATTCCCAGTAATAACAACAAAAAATAGTAACAAAACACACACACACACACACACACACACACACAAAATTCTATTTAATATGTGTACTATTTAAGATAAGAATGTTTGATTCAATGTAGAAAAACAAAACATGGTTGGGTATTAAAATCAGGTTTGCAAATACTAATGTAATCAACCTGTCTCTGTTATCAGTACTCTAAGTCTCATTCATTCTGCACCTTAAATTTCCAGTAGCACAAAAACTGAAAATATTACCTGTTCTCTAGAAAATCCTCCATACTCTTCATTGGAAAGCTAAAGTGAATTATTAAAACTAAATGAAGTTACGTGTTTGAAAGAAACTTAGGCTGCAGAATCTCTTTTATTGTATGGTTTTCAACACTGGCTCTTTTTAAAATCTAAATCCCAGTGATTATCACTTAAACATAGGATTCATATGCATTAATAGGACAAAATAAAATGACTGACAAAACAGTGGTATTAATGAAGTTTGGTTTGGTACAATGGCTTCACCTGTAATTTGCTTTACCAGTATTATATTATTTGCATATTTTCAATTCACAAAACCATCAGAGCCTCTTCAAATGGGACCCTCCTGAATAGACATTGAAACACTAGTGAGGACATTACCTCCAATTCGTTCAGCCTCTGGATACGTGGGGTAAAATGAAGTTTATCAACATCACATGCAAATGGTGGCTGCCAGTCCTAGGAGAGAGCGAAAGCTCTTATTAGAAGAATTAATAATCATCTAATATTTAAAAACTTACTTTACAATAACAACTAAGGTTATATGATCCCATCTCTAACCAGCCTATCAACAGAAGGAGGTTATTTCTCAACCTTTTTTCTACTGGACAGAATATTGTATGAACGAGCACCCACCCACTTTCTCAAATCAGATACATCCCATATGTACCTCTTCCTACACTCTGCTCCAGCAATGTACCTGAGCCTCATTCTCTGTTCAAAAGTCACTAATTTATGCAAAAGAACAGAAGCATCTCTCTATAAAGCAGATGCATTGATGTCAATTACCTATAAAATATGTTTACATATTTAACCTTCCAGGAACACTGACTTTTAGTATAAAATTGAAAATAAATTCTTCAATGCTGGGAAGGGAAAACCAATATCCAAAGCCAATTTTATAATCATCCAATTTGTCTACTCATACATCTGCCCTTGAAAGAATTTCCCTAATTACAGAAGAATGCCATTGTAAATAAATAAAAAAGTAGAAAAGTATACATGTACTGTTACCTATGTGTGGAGGGAACTGAAAACAAATGTCCACAAAAGGTATAAACATTATGTGGTTTTAATGAGTTTCAGTTTTGGATATTAAAAAGGTCTGCAGGTGGAAAGCAGTGATGGCTACACAACAAAGTGAATGTACTCAGTGTCACTGAATGACATCCTTAAAAAGAATCAGGAAAGGATAGACACTCAGAAAGTTTCTCCTGGTGTTTGACAGAGCACTGGCTAAACAGATTGCAGCAGGAAGTGTAACCAAAGGAAGTGTTATGCTACCAGAAAAATCTCAAGGAAAAGCATTGCAAGCAACAATAGCAGCTGTGGGATCAGACTAATGGAAAGTGTGGAGAGATTCCACCAGCTGGCATGAAAGTTGGAGATAAAAGTTCTTCCAGAATTTTGAGGTATTTTGGTTACTCTTCTTTCACTGCTGGGACAAAATCCCTGAGAGGTATTTTGGTGAAGGAAGGAAAGGTTTATTTAGCTCACTGTTTGTTGAGGCTTCAGTCCATAATCAGATAGTTCCAAGGCAGGGTGGCATGACACAGAGGCAACGCTTGAAGGTGGCAGAAGGCAGTAAAGCAACAAGAACACAAGTGGGGGGAGAGCAAGCCTCTTTTCCTCCCTTACATTGTACCCAGGCCACTCCTCTCCAAAGGTGCAGCACTTACAAAATCTCCTAGCCCTTCTCTCGCACAAGGAGGATCCTGACTCCCTGCCGAGTCTCTTCTAAACTTCTCAAATGGATACAATATATCAACCATATCAGGAGGTAACAAAGTAATCCAGATAATTTCTTAGAGATGGTGATATTCTTGTAAAGTATGTAAACTGAAATAAATCACTATTGAAATGGCATTAAGTGGCACTACCCAATCCATTGAAGTTCTAAAAGCTTTCACCATATAAATAATCTCCAGGTCTTTTATAATAAACTGATTACATCTAATCTTTAAAAAGGTACAATGGCAAACTGTACATGACATACTTTAATGAGAAAAGCAAAAGAAAGGAAAAAATTATAGTAAAGATGTCTATTTGTTGACATGGGGAGATTGCCCTTAAATATGTTACACAGAAAAAAATCACTGAAAAAATATTTAGCAAAAGTTAAAAATTTTCACTACCAGTAGCAAGATTACAAGTGATTCTGCTTCCTTGCCCTTTCTATTATGTCTGAAGTATGTTAAATGCATTAAATAATGTTTATTAAATGATAAAATGTTAATTCAAGAATACTAACATCCTTTAACCCAACTGCATACTTATAAAGTTATTCTACTGGTGGCACACACCTGTAATCCCAGCACTCGGGAGGGCTGAGGCATGAGGACTTCTGTGAGTTTGAGGCCAGAGGCCAGTCTAAGCTATGAAGTGAGTTTAAGGTCAGTCTAAACACCAGATAGTGAAACCCTGCCTCAAAACACACACACACACACACACCATAAACAAACAAAAACCTAGTATCTATCAAAGAACATTACAGCAAGGTTGGGGATACATTGCTTGCTCAGTGATAAGAGTTGACTGCCTAGCATGTGAGATCCTGGGTTCAATGTGCAGTTATGGAGGAGGAAAAAAGAGAAAGAAAGGCTATATTGTTGGAATTTACCACTATGGATTGCTTTTAATGTAAAAGCAAAACAAGATTTTGTTTAGTGATAGGACAGCCTGGATTACACAGTGAGACCCTGTCTCAAATAAAGGAAACTACAAACTATTTGATGCACTATCTACCTACCTATAAAAAAAGGCACTATTGTCGGTTCAAGAATGCAATAAATACAAGTAAACTCTTCAGGTGTTTAATGTAGTCATACTGCCCTATCAATACAGACTACGGCAAAGTTTTTAAAGGGCAGCTAATAACATACTGGACTTTGTTAAGAGTGCCCTATCAATACAGACTACGGCTAAGTTTTAAAAGGCAGCTAATAACACACTGGACTTTTTTGATAAAAAGATGAAAGTCTGATTTATCTATTGTTTAGTTCAGTAACTAAAAATGAATAATACAAGCAGCAGAATAAAATCACATTTCTTCTTAATAGTCTATGAAAGGTTAACAGAAGTCTTTTTATGGTCCACAGTTTTGCCCTCTCATACTTTATAAAAACTTCTAGTGGCCAGGTACAGTAGAACATGCCTGTAATTCAAGCTACTCAGGAGGCTGAGGGAGGAGGATCATAAATTCAGGGCAGTGAGAGTAACTTCATGAGATTGTTTCTCAAAATAAAAAGGGCTGGAGATGCAGGTCAGTGGTAGAGCACCCTTGAATTCTATCAATCAATCAATCAACAATCATACTGTCTTTCAGAAATGAACCGATCTGCTTTGAAAGTTAGATCAAAAAACAGTCTAAAATTATAAGTAAAAAAAAAAGTCTAGAGATGTAGTAGCTCAGTACAAAGGCCTTCGGTTCAACCTCCAGTGCCACAGAAATATATGATACTGTATCTGAATATACAAGTAAATGATCAAGTATTTAGTCTTTTTTGTTTTTGTTAGAAACAGGCTCTTGCTGTGTAGTTCAGGGTCACCTCCAATCCACCTATCTCAGCTCCCCCCACCCCTCCCAGTGCTCGGATTACAGATGTGCGCTACCATACCTAGCCTTTTTTGCTTTTTTGTTTTCAAATATTTAGTCTTAACGTAATGTCCAAGTGATCTAAAAATTCACAACCTCAAACATAAAGGTGATTTCCTATTCCTTCATTAGCCAATTACACATACATGCCTCTTATTCCCAAGAATATACAATCTCATGTTCTAAAAAAAAAAAAAAAACCTATCAAAGTTTTATGAATTAAAGAGAACATATAGCTTTGAATATATGTATATATATATATAAATATATACACATTAGAATACAGAATTTATGCTTATTTTAGTATGAAGTGTCAAATAAAATGAATACTAAATGCAACACTTCAGAATATATTACACAGATATCAATTAGGAAGTTTACATACAGCAAGTATAGTATCTTAAAATCACACAATTTCAGCTCACTTTTCATTCAAAACACATCATTGCAAAGTTTGTCTCCTCTTTTGGTTACAATGAATGAGAGGAAAAAAAGACTATCATTCTATTCTGGGGCTTTCCCTATCAGGTGAAAACTGCACTGCAATAAAAGAACTATGTATCATTTGGATGCTCAACACCAAGTGAGACATCCTGGTTGGCCTCATTGAGTCATGGGTTTTAAATGAGAAGGGTGAAAAAAACCATTAAGAAGAAAGATAACTAGAATAAAAAGGCTCTAAAAAATGAAAACCTTGAAACAGGAAAAATAATTCTCAAAACAGCCAAATAAACAATCAAACCCTCATTTAGAAACATTGTGAAAATTTTTGCTTTGGGATTTCAGTGTCTAAAAGGGATATCGTATAACCAAAATGTAAAAACTTTCAGCCCTTATCAATAAAGTGGATCATAAATTACATTTTCCCAAAGAAAAACAGCATTTCCATCCTAACCAAAAGTAGTAAGATTCAGATCACAAGCAGTTGGATAAATTCCCTGCTGAGATTTAATTTTCCTTGTTTTTAAAACTTTAAAATAGCCAGGCGTAGTGGCACACACTTGTAATTCTAGCACTGAGGAGGCTGAGACAGGAGGATTGTTTGGAGCTCAAGGCCAGCCTAGGCTACATAGTGAACTCAAGGCCAGTCTGAATTACACAGAGACCCTGTCTCAACAATTTGAAAATAAATAAATGGTTTTATTTTAACCCTTTCAAAACAAAAAATGAGAACTATATATGTTACTTAAAAGTTTGATTATTTTCCTAGCACTCAAAATTATTTTCCTTGGGAAAGCAATCAAGTAGGAAGCTGAAGCTTCAAAATCCTCAGAGATCTGAGAAACATCAGGTAACCATTTTCTTTAGTTCCAGCACTAACGACTTGAAGCAATTTAATAGAAATGTTTCAAAAAACAAAAATCAATCAATATGAGACTAACTTTCAAAGGAAATTTTCATAAATGCTGCAAAAATTCACTGTACATGATCTATTAGCATCTATATATTTAATGTATTAAAAAACTCTTAATCTTTCTAATTAGAGAGACTGTCATCATTTTGAGATCTGGTAATTAGCAAAATGAGTAAGTGTACTCTAGACAGAGGCTATACAAGTTGTTTCTCTAATTCCCTGAAGACAAAACCAATTAAAAATCTGTGTCAAAAGTGCATTCTTGTCAGTTTATAAAGAATAGCATTAACTAAGGACCAAAGCATTTTTCTAATTGCATATGTTATATGAAACTCAATCATCACAGAATAAATGTCTCTTAGAACCCAATGCCAGCAAAAATAAGAATAATTTTCTGAACTCATATTTTCAATTTCCAATGTTATTCAATATTATAATAAACAAAGTACACATAATAGAAAGTTGTCCTTCTTTAAGCTTCACAGTCAAGCCATATTTTATATATCCCTG